CACCCTCCCCCTCCTCCACACCACCAGCCGATCGAGGCCCCGAACCCAACCCACCACCACTCTTAACCCCCTTACGACGCACTGCCTCCGGATAAGACACCTTATGCTCCACCTGAAACTTTTCCACCTCCACCGCTGACCTATATGCCACACAATCAGAAGAGGCTCCTCAAACGCCCTGATCGAGAAGATGAGAAAGCCCAACATGACACGCTTCACCGCAAGTAATTAACAGTGGAGTGGATCCACGAGCATCAAATCCTAGACACGGAATAGCCACCCCCGCCGCTCCACTCAGGGAGGAAAACACGTCAGAAACAGAAACCTTATTTGGCACGCCATATACCACCCCTTTAACCAAAGCACCCAAACGCGACTCAGAAACATCCACTTCCACCCCCATAAACATTTCAAGCTGCTGCGCTTTGAGGCACTGGGCCCTCGTCCGACAAACCACCATCAACATACCAGGAAACATGACAGTAGCATCTATCACATCCCCAATCACCGTACTGATCCCCCTGGGCACCGCAAATGGGTTGGACATTGCAAAACGCGCACCAGCCACCGTCGTATGTAGACCACAAAGTCGTCCTTCCGCCAACCTCTGCTGCTTCGCCTGCGCGTGCGTCCCAATCACCGTCCGAGGCATCACTGCTATCCGTGTGGTCCCTTTTACACCCCCCCCCCCCCCCCCCCCCATGTGCCTCCTGGTTAATGAGAAGCCTTTATAGGCCATCAATTAGGACTAAGGCAGCTGATATTAGTGCTGATTGGGGGCGGGGTTCTCTCTCAGTACTGACAGATTTCAGGTGATCTCCCTGCTTACTATGCCTTTTTTTTGTACCTTGTTACTTTCATGTGTTTAATACTTTTTTCTTGTGTCTTTTCACTTTTTTACACATAACTCAATTTATAGAGTTAAACGTTTGGATACCTTTTCATGAATTAAATGAGTGATGGTGAGATAAAGCCTCATGATGAGCTGAAGCTTTCCATCCAACTGGTCGACTTGATCTTGAGGCACTGAGATGATTCATTTGCTCTATTTCGCCATCGAGTGGACAATTCATGTAAAACTGTAAACCTTTTAACATGAAAAAAATAAATGCTTTTGATCGCAATATATTCTTAATATTGTCATAAACTGTCCTTTTAATATACTGTCTGGTCCAAAAGAGAAAGGAAACTAACAGGACATAGGGTTTCCACAGCACAATGTGACTGTATTCTGCTGCCCCTTTTATTTCAAATCCGGCGCGAACCGGCAAGCCAGTTCCTGAATCGGTCACATGGTATGGAAGGCCAACAAGGCCTTGAACGTCACTGCTTGCGTAACCAACTCAATCCTCGATACACGCTTCACTAAAAATCTTCCTGGATACCCGACACACACTCCGAAGTGTCAACACATCGGACACATCACTAAATTAAATATTTGAGTTGACATTGACATGTGGTGGAGATTTTGTGTCAATAGGTCACTTTGACAAACGCTTACTGTTAAAAATGCTGTTGTGTTGTAAAGCACCGTGGGGTGTTGTGGAACCTTAAAATGTGCTTTGTCAAATCCAGGCCATTTATAATTTAAACCATGACAAGAAAATATGCACAACTGCAGAGAGAACAGTCACAGCCCAGTGAGTTATTGGGATGAATGCATTTGTAAAGCTCTAAATAAAGTAAGCCATTACAAAATACAATAAAAATATTTATGTGACACCTCAATGCAATCAAATAAACAAATAAACAAGAGAAAATGTTTGTTTGCCTTACAAGAAAAAAAATGTGATTCACAAGCACAATACAAAATAGGACTAAAAATGCACATAACTGGAGTAACATTTGTGTGTGTTTAGTGTCTAAATGTAATTCAAAAAAGTTACAAGCTTAAGGTTAGGCTAACAAGTCCACTCTTCTTACCAAAGCCAGTCACATGTTAAGTTCTATTGCTCAACTCTCTTGCAAACATCTTTTATACACCAAAAGCCATTTTTCTGCTTATGGTTCATACAATCTTGGATTAGATTAATAAAATATTTGTTTTCAGTAAATTAGGTGCTTTCCATGTGTCTTTTCACTTTATTACACATAACTCAATTTATACAGGTGGGGCGATGGTGGCACAGGAGTTAAGTGCAATCGGAAGGTTGCAGGTTTGAGCCCCGCTCAGTCTGTCTCTGTCGTTGTGTCCTTGGGGAAGACACTTAACCCACGGTGCCTGCTGGTGGTGGTCGGAGGGACCAGTGGCGCCAGTGCTCGGCAGCCTCGCCTCTGTCAGTGCACCCCAGGGCAGCTGTGGCTACATTGTAGCTCATCCCCACCAGTGTATGAATGTGTGTGTGAATGGGTGAATGACTGATTGTGTTGTAAAGCGCCTTGGGGGGTTCCATGACTCTAGAAGGTGCTATATCAAATACAGACCATTTACCATTTATTTGGTGTTGTCCAACAAACACCCTCCAGTAACAAAGCCCATTTAAACAGTATTTTATACAAATTAAAATGTATTCATTTCATAAGCAACAGAAACTAAGGCACTTTTAAAAGCCAAAACTACAATTTCCTCATACAGGGACAAAAACAGCCTACTTTAATACATTTATATCACCTCAACATTTCAAGTAAAATGAATGTTTAATAGATAGCTTCAGTTTTGGTCTATCATAGTCTGAATTTATGACCATGTGGATATAAATAGTTTTTGGTAACTTTCACTCCATGTATAAATACTTTAAATAAGTCTAGAAGTGAGGAATCACCTGTGACCTCTCATTCTTCCTGAAGCAAGAAACATACCAGCTGGAACTCAGAGCTTCTATCATAAGTACAGTTTAGTCTAAGGTTTGCTCAGTAGTGTTTAATGCTGATGCGTTTATTGTCTATGATGGACACTTGGTGTTGCAGGCATCACCTGACCTGAACAGTCCATAGACACTAACCAGTGGAAACATGGTTAAAGCACCAAGCATGGAGCCAAGCTGTACTACAGCACCACACCACACGAGGGCGCTGTGTCCCTCATCTCTCAGAATCACCCCAATGATGATCTTCACATAAGACAGTGACAGCACGAAAAAGATCCAGGCCAGCACCTGCAGAAGACAGGAAATCAATAGTGTGGCTGAAATTAAATCAGTTACAGTAATTAATTATGCAGCAATGTGTCCTGGTCCTGAGAATCTGACAGTATTTTTAGTTTCTCTCCAAAGTTGTTAAGTTCCCTGCAGTGTTCTTCTGTTGGCATTCATTCTTATTCTGAGTTGCTTAGTGAACTGGATGACTGCACTTTCATAAAGTAAAACAACACACACTGGCCATGTTAAAGCCGTGTGTGGAAGACCCATACTTAACCACAACAACTTGGCTCCTCGTCCTTATGCTGATCACCAAAATGGATCCCATTTTTTGCATCAACATCCTAATCCTCAACCAGGAGTTGTTTAAGGAAACCAGCAGGGTGGTATCAGTAGCACCTGTAATATTCAACTGCTAGACCTTTGACTGGAACACACCTGGCAGGACTTGAAGCTCAAAAAATGAATGACGACCAACCAGTATTGGGCGATATAAACAGAATATAGTAGAAATGATATCAGTTTGGCCAACTATACCAGTTTTGACTCTGATGGCCTTACACAATTGCATATTCTGATGACTGTTGTCAATCATCGTCAACTTTCAATGAAAGCAGCAACTGCTGCTTCAAATGTTGAGCGGCTGAAGGAGGAAGTGCTTTTAAAGACAAGGCAATGTTGGTTACAAGGACCTGTCTTGGGTTTAAGAAGTTGGATGTTGAGCAGAAAACCATCCTGAGTAAAATATGCCAGGCCAGGTCGGGAAAGTCAAGTTCAGCATTAATTAATACATCTGGCCAACATATCTGTTCTTCAACTAGATTTGCTTCCTTAATTGGAAAACCTTTAGGAGACAGTTTGGTAATGGTAACTGATTTAAAACAAACTGAAGAGTGATGACATAAATGAGGAGAATGTTCAAACATTTATTTTGTCTTTTGATACCATAGAAGACAGGCATTCAACAATGGGTGAGCCTGGAACTTTTATTTTGAAAAATGGTTTTATTCAGTTGGTCTTTTTTTGATAATTATGACTTGGAAAGTTACTCTATGAGACAGTGATGAGCTGATGTGGTTGTTAGAAAGTTTACTTATGAAAAATATGAAAGATAACATTTGGCTGACACATTCCCATTTTTAAAGAGGCTAAAATGTATTTATTTTACTTTTGCAGGTATGTGCATGCTGCAAAAAGGAAAACATATGGTCTTACTATGACAGCAGTTCCAGAGGTACTATGGACCAGCAATGGACAAGGGCTCAGTGCAGCCATGGCCATGATGTAGGCCCCATGGCCTGTACCAAAAATGGTCAAAGACCCCATGAAGGTGAGAGACCTATGAACAAAGATGCAGAGATTAGTTAATACAAAGTTAAAGACAAAACACCTCTAACTGTTTTTTGTTTGTTGGTTTGTTTGTTTTCTGAATTATTTCCAAGAGCATTTATTGCTGTACAGAAATTTTTCAAATGTGATCAAAATGATCACTGACACAGATGTTGGCACATGTCTATTACTCACCTTATTGGCACAAACATGGCAATGAAGCAAGCAATGGGGTTAGCAACAGCAGCCATAGTGGCTGCTAGATGGTAGGCTTTGTTTCCATAAGGCAGACAGGAGTAGGACTGCACTGCGGGCAGCACTGCATTGGTCAAAGCATTGACCCAAGCCAGCACGACAAAGATGAACACTACTTCCAAGTTGCTGTATGTTCCCTTTCCAAATGAACTTCTTGGTTCTTTTTGGACAGACTCCAAATGATTCAGCATTGGTTTCTGCTCCGGTGTCTGGGCGTGCAGAGAAAATCCTTGTTCATTTTTCTCTTGGTCCGTACTGAAATACCGGTCACTCTTTCTTTCCAGGGCTACCGCGGGATGGTGATTCAGTAGGATAAAGGCTACCAGACACACAACCATCATGGCACTGAGAAACACAAAGAAAACCTGGACAGAGAATTTGGCAGGCTGGTAGACAGCTTGTAATTCTCCATTTCCCACGATACTGGAATTATCAGATGATCCGTTTCCAGCCAAGGTAACATTTTTGCAATGAACTACACCAACACCCTGAATTAAAGCCACAAGTGCAGGTACTAATCCACTGAGGCCTTCTCCCACAAAGTACGTAGTGAGGTATTGCGGACGTAGGCGCATCATGAAAGGCAGGAATGTGACTGATGATGTGCAGTCCACCACAGACAGCAGAAAACTTAAAATCAACAGTGGCACACTGTGCAATGAGCCAGCTATTGTCACTGTTTGCCTCCAGAAAAAAGACAGCAGGAATGTTGCAACAATTCCCAGCGCTACGATAAAGTAGATAACTGGTCGCTCATCTAATTCTCCTGGACGGAAGCGATGCATCAGGGTGATGAACAGAGGACCTACGTTGGCCATTTGGATGAGGATTGTGAGATAGGAAGGCAGGTACCAATGCTCTGGAATCTCAGGCACAACCAGGGGGAGCTCCACCCACATTCCATTGATGGCTACCCATGAGCCCATACCAAAAAGGCAGGCCAGTATGTGAGTCAGCAGCGACATGACGAAGGAAGGAATAAGGAAATATAGATGATGAAAATCTGAAACACAGTAACAACACACAACAGTCTGCTTAGTACAGTTACAAACAGTACAGTACAAAACTAATGTTTGAAATTGCAATGTATCTCTACATTTTCTTTTGTACTGGGATAATTCATATGTACTGCAGAACTAATTATGTATAACTGAGTGTGTTTTAACAGAAAAACAAAACTATATATATATATATATATATATATATATATATATATATATATATATATATATATATAAGTGAAAAAAATTCAAGCACACCCTATGCAAGTTGTCTTTTTCTCTAATGGCTAGAAGCTATCTATACAGTGGGTAAGATAGTGATTATTGTCTTACTTTTACACCAAGATAATTCAAATTAGCAAAGAAATCCCACTACATGAATTATTCATACATATAAAAGTGAGCAGGGTATTCAGAAGTTACAATCTTTTTTCCAAAAATGGATCGAATTAATTTGTTTTCTTCAAAATTCTAAATGCGACACCTTTAATATTTTCTGGATACTTTGCAACTGACCCTCTTTTATCTTCCTCCGTCCCTCCTTCTCTAGGTTGACCTTTCACACACTGACACACTGCTCCCGTGAGTTTTGGCATGCTCTTAAAGGGCAGTAAAAGTTAAAGCATGATGTTAAGAGCAAGCTTTAAAAGACTTGATCCTAAAGACCACAAAAGGTTTGGTTGAGGTACCAAGTAAAAAAAAAGTGCATTACCAAATTTGGCACAAGTCATGTGACTTAGTATTATACAAACACAAGGAAGGTATACAACTATTGCTTCAACTTCCTATTTCCTTCTTGTTATGTGTTATAACATAATAATTTGAGACAATTCAGTCCCTTTACCTAAAACTAAAAACACAAGGACAATCATACGGAGCAGAGGGACTGAAAGACTCACAGATTAGGGTTCTTGGACAACCCGACCCTCCATTAACCTTTACCGTGCTGTAACTAACTAGCTATGCTACGACTGAATCGGTTCTCTTACCTCATTCAGAACCAAATGAACGTTTCTCCTCTGACCTTCCAAAAACCTTCATGGCATCACCATCACTATTTCTTCTGATTTGACCCAAGCATGTATGCACCCCCTCCTTTTATACATTCCCTCCACACACACACACAGCTACACACACACACACACACACACTAAGCCTTCACTCTACTTCCGTGTCTCTGCTGCACTTGTCAGAGGGGAGGGACTGCACAGCCGCACATGTGCTTCTCCACCAGAACACTTGCACCATCTTTCTGCTGAAGGGGGTGGTTTCAACACCAGGCAGCCATGTGCTCTTCCTCTGCTTACTCAAGAAGCTTGGCACTAGAAAGAAGGGGAGTGAGGGGGAAGGCCTTAGAGTAAAAAAGCTCCACCTTTCTGCTTTTCCATCCCCCAACCCGCTCAGGGACTCCCTGCTCTGCTGTAAAACACAAAGGCAGCGAGGGCCTGGATTCTCAGGTGTCTGCATGTCTTCAGTTACTTAGAACTAAATGCTTTTGAATGTCAGTTTGAGTTTCACAATCCCAGATGAAACAAAGAAAATTACTCTAAAAAGACCTGTCAGTCAAGTTCAGTTTAACTGACTTTCTAGTTTAGTTTTCCTGAGAATTTGTCTGAAGCGCTCCAGCGAATGGTTCACGACCATAAAGGCTGCTAAACTGATAACATCAAGGAATGGCAGCTTCTAAATAAAAATATTAGCATCGTAGGGAATTAGTAACACCCTAATACTAAAAGCCAGGTGTAATTTCTCAAAAATCTGCCAAAATGGTGTTCGAAGCTGTGGTTGAGAATTTTGCCTCTTCTGGATATATTTGTTAACACTCTGGAGGCAGACGTTGCACATTTGCAACAGTTGAAACCTACCTACCTCCACATACATATTTCATGAGCAATTTTAAACTCAGAAGTACCCCTGAAGGACTTAGTTGTTTGTCCTTTTATCAAAGCTTATTTTGAGCTTGAGAGGGTTAAAATAAATTACACTGCATTTGTAGAAGAAATAATTAGAAACAGTTCCCACTGCCATGTCTCACGATCACATTACACAATTCTGAATAAAAATAAAAATAAAAAAGAAAGCTTCATTTTTGGTTATTTGATTTTCATACACCCAGTAGCAATTACTTCAACAAGAGCAAAATCACCAACAGAAAGAGCAATACATCTTTAGAAGTTTCATAGGGTTTTTAGAAGTAAAATTATATGATTTTTCATAATATTCTGAGATTTTAAGAAAATGTCTCACAATGAGACTTTTTAAGCCAATGCACAGAGCTGCTTTGAGCAAATCAAATGAACTAAATGTACCATTTTAAATCCAAGTAGAGACAACTTACCTGTGAGAAGAGGTCAGTTTTAGTAAGACAGTTAACAAAAGCAGCAGAACTGAGATGTGAAGAGGAGCATGGCCTGCTGGTTCTTCTGTTTAGAGCATGAAAAGTGAGAGAAAGTCTGAATCCATCATGTGACTGCTAGAGCCTGAGCTTAGGGCTTCCCATTAAGAACCAAGTAGGTGAATTACAGGAATGTTAAGCAAAGAGGAGAGAAAGAGGAAGAAGGGAGAACATTTTAAGCATTTACAAGTTATACACTTGCTTTTTTGAAAAAAAAAAAACCAGTATTAAATCCAAAGTGTTGCAAGGTCCAAGGTTAACTGAGCTGCTGATTGAAGGGGAAGGGTAACAAAACATGTCCTGTCTGTAACTGCCTTGTTGGTTTCATTGGTTCAGTCCCAGGGTCAACATTTTAACTTTCATGTTTCAGAGCAGGGGAGTGAATCATATTGACTCAGCTTCATCATTTTGGGTCAGTTCACAGATTGTAACAACTGTTTTATAGTAATATGCATTTTTTTTATTAGCCTAGAATTTACACATACAAATGCCTCTTTGTTATTTCTGGTATTAATCTATAACATGCATAACTTCTACTTGCATGTAAATGCTAAGTAATTAGCATTATTGCCACCAGCCACAAAATCACGACTTTTGAGACCTAGTCTGTGAATATGATCAGTTTAAAACAAAACTATACTGTAAAATCAAAGTAAGTGGTTGATCACTGGATTAATTTTACCTTAAAAAGTGAACCCATCATGTTTGCTTGTATTAAAGTAGTGGTTTTAGTAACTAGAAGTTCATTCAATCATCATTTTAAAATGTATCTTTTAGCGTGAATCAGATGCTACTTTGCTAAGTAGTAAAATTATTCCCTGTTTCTTTTTTATTTTTACTATTGATCTGACTACAGGTCACTGGGCTCTGTGTTTGAACAGATATGCCTGTATTTTTGGTTTTGCAGGCTTTCTAAAAGTGTGCCTGAAAAGTACACTTGGTGCAAATCTACAGGAGGGCAGCTGGAACAAAACATCTACAGATGAAATTTCCTCTGCTGGGAATTCTCCACTGAATAAGATATGAGACACAGTACAGCAAACACCTGACCTCTTACTGTTAGAGTTACTACTAATACACACTTTCATTATTCAGAGTTTCACATTTTATTCAAGGAGAAACAAGGATAAACTAACATAAATTACACTGAACACTTATAGAATGAATATTATTTTTACAGTTATAATAGTGCTATGCTTGATGCACAACATGTTCATGAAGGTCTTTACATAAAATCACTCTCACACAAAGCAATCCCAGCTGCTTTATTCTTGGCACTTGTCATGGCTGCTGCCTTTTCACCCTGAGATCAGGAGTACAGAGCCCTGGTCAGCGCCCCTCCTCCTCCTACCTGCACAGTTGCACCCAATCACCAACTCAGCACCTGACCGCTTAAAAAGGAGAGCTCCCAGAATCACAAGAGCACATCCTATGCTCTGATGCAAGTGTGGCTCTGGAGAGCTGGAAGAGACGGTGCTCAGACAGCAGGCCAGCTGGAACGGCAGAAGTGGCACAAATGCTATTTAGGGTTCACATGATGGGTGTGGTTTTCCAATTTTTGAGGCTGCCAGTGCACTCTGGAGTGGGCGCTAACAAGGTGGTGGACAAATTGTCTAAGGAGGTGTGGGGAAAATTGAAATAAAAAGCATGATAAAACAGGTTAGAAAGTAGAAAAGACAGAAAAGGTGGGGGGAAGAAAGATTAGAAAGATGCATGTATGAAATACAGAGAGGTGCAGGAGAAAGGAGGAGGATGGGGAGAGCAAGAAGAGAGGAGATTGTGTTATCTAGATTGAGGCCTAGTCCACACGTAGCCGGGGTTTTTTAAAAACGAATATCCTCCCCTCCAAAAACTTGCATCCACACCACCTCGTTTTAAAAACAAACTCTGTCCACACGTATCCGGATAAATACGTTGTTATGGAGATGCCAGACCTGTAGGCGGCAGTACTTCCCCCGTTCTTAACCTCGTCCTTCGTCTGTGGTCTTCCGCAAGGAGCAGTAATTCCACTTGCAAAAACAAACAAGCAAAAAGCGCTTGGACAATTGATGGATCGGGTAGTGACAGAGCGCAGCTCTGAGGGCTTCCATGATGTCGGCTAGTGTAAACACAGGTCGCACACGTGATGTCAGCATTTTTTGTCGCGGAAAGTGACGTTGCGGACCTTAAAACTCCGGTTTTGTCTGTCCACACGCAGACACCCAAAACGGAGAAAACGCAGATCTTCACTTTGGCCGGAGTTTTTAAAAAGATCCGTTTTCGTGTGAAAAAACTCCGTTTTCGTGTGGATGACAGGCCAAAACGTAGAAAAATATCTACGTTTTGGCAGATCCCCGGCTACGTGTGGACAGGGCCTGAGACTTGGCCATACAGGGTTAAACAGCATGTTGTTGCTAATGGGTAAGAACCCAAAAGTTAGTGAAGGCTTCGGTCAGGGGTGTTTGTAAATGTTAAGAGGAGCTCAGGTTTATTGCAAGTGCTTGTTAAAATGGATTAGTGTTAGGAAGTTGCCTTGTAAGTAGAAACCTTTCGTTTGTTTATGTTTATTTATTTGGCTTTTATCTAAAGTGACGTACATGTGTTAACCTAAAGGGAAAACCCGAGTACCTGGAAGAAACCCACGCATGCATGGGGAGACCATGTAACTCCAGGCAGAAAGGCTGCAGCCGAGTTTCGAACCTACAATCTCCTTGCTGCGAGGCAACAGTGCTAACAATTGTGCCACCATTGTGTATGTGTGTGACATAGCTTAAAGCTTTGCAGTTAAAGTAAAATTCATTTGGTGTGTGTGTTTGTAAAACGTCTAAGATCTTTGTTCATGTTAGTTTTCATTTTAGTTCAGCTTTGAGGGCCGTTCCAGTTCGTTTATATTATAGTATGTTTATGTCTCTCTCTCTTTCTCTCTCTCTCTCTCTCTCTCTCTCTCTCTCTCTCTCTCTCTCTCTCTCTCTCTCTCTCTCTCTCTCTCTCTCTCTCTCTCTTTATATATATATATATATATATATATATATATATATATATATATATATATATATATATATATCGTTTATATATTTAAATCCTTTTTGAAATAGAAACCTTGTTGGATTTTACCATTGTGCACATGCTTTATATGTTACCCCCTTCTCATCCCTAGACCAGACAAAGGGGTAGTAACACATTTTTAGCACCTTCCAGAGTCACTTTAAGAAAATTAGCTGTTGGGGCTGGGGTGGGAGTCTGGGAGCTCGGGGTGCGGGGCGGCTGGCCCTGTGTGGGGGTCTGGGTGGGGCCTTGGGGACTGGGTCCTGACTTATATGCTGCCAAGAAGAAGGTGGGAACACGCGGCAGTGCCTGGCCCAGGCTCAGGGGCCTCAGGTGCACTTTGGCTCCTCTGAAATAATAACAATCTGTCCCATCACGGGGGAGGGAATATTCAGTATGGAACCAACCTTACCTGGATGTCTCATGTCTTACATATTCTGGAAGTTGTGCAAATGCAGGGATGGGGGGGAGATATTCTGCTGTGGTGGGGCTGGGTTGGTGCCCTCGGACTCCGTGGGGCTCTGCGATGCTGCTGCTTTGGGCCCTGGCGAGATGGGCTGGGGTCTCCATGCCCTGGGTGGCATTTGGGGAATGGGGGTGCCTATTGGGGCCACTGGCTCCCTGGAGGACTTAGGCCAATCAGCCATTACTCCCATCCCCACACACATTTTTCTCCTCCTGCTCCCTCACATCATCACACAAACATGCACATAGGACCTTGGGGGGTGGGCAAGTCAGGAGGTGCACGTATAGATCCCATTTCAACATTTCTGTGGCAGCCTGCCCCTCAATTTTATTTGCACATTAAACACTTCCACCAACAACATTTCACGCAAACACACACTTAGGGCCTTGGGAGAGAGCACACTCAACGGCATTTGGCAAGGGAATTTTTCAGCCTCATCTCGAGTGCCGGTGACCACTTCCAATTTTGAACTGCACTTAGACACAGAGGGCTGTGGGGCGAAGTGGGGTTGTGTGGATGCATTAGCTGCTGTAGGCCAGACGATTCCTGCACTGTCTGCTCACCACAGCCATGGAATACACCTCATCATCATTCATCAACACTGTATTGGAGCAGGCAGAAGGAGACTAGGGATCTCAGCACACCTCTGTTGTTGCTTGGCTTCCCAGGGCTGGAGGCTAGGAGTGGGAGCTGGCCCTCTGGTTGGGGTCTGGAGTGGTGGGTTGCTTTGCTCGGCATTGGGCGGGGGTGCCTGCTCATCATCACTCTAGCAGAAAGGGACAAACTCTGGGGACCGGTGATGGGTGTACCCTTTGTGCAGCAGTACCGGGACCAGAGTGAATAGGGTGTGTATGGGGAGCATGAGTGGATGTCTAGCATTCATTTTTTTAAGTCTTAAGTTGTATGTGTATGTGTGAGCATGAGGGAGGGAGTGTGTGACTGTGTCTGTGTATGACTGTACATGTCAGGTGGGGCCTTGGACTCCTCCCCTCTCCAGGGATTTCTTGTGCTATTACGCATCTTTGCCTACCCTCCCCCTGCCACACTAGGTGTGGAGTGTGGTGCCTTGGTCTGCCTAAGTGTTCGCCACTCTCGGGTCAGGGGTTTAAGATTTTTGGCATCTGTCTGATCGATCCTGGTGGTTGCCTGGTGGGATCTGAGTCCCTAGGCTCTGTTGAGTCCCCGGTGGGGTTGGTCGCCCCTGGGTCCCGGGTCGCTGGATTCCGAGCTCGACCGGTTTTGGGGTGGGAGGCTGCGGGTGGGCCTCTGGACTTGTCGCTGTTATCTCCCGGGACTCTGCTGGCTGCTGGTTAAGGCCCCCTGGGGCAATCCCCTGTGCTTCTCGAGGAGGGCAGGGGCTTATCTGGTTACAGTCTCCCTGGGGTCCCTGCACTCTTAGGCAGCCCCTGGATCTCTGGGGCAGCCACTGGATCTCTGGGGCTTGGAGCTCCCTCCATCTTCTACACATCTTTGGGACCAGATCTGTGGCCCTTCACACTCACTATTGGATGCTCCTATAGAGAAACCTTACATATACAAGCGCGTGTACACACACAGGTGCTCACATGGTGCTCTCATAAGTATGGACTTGGGCACGTTCAACACATGTCTTAAGGCTGTGGTTGGCACTTAATGCACTGTGATTTATTATCGTGTGATTGTTCAGAAAAAAAATGTTGATTTTATACTTCCTCATCAGGATGACACAGTGATAGCTTGCTCTAGATGTATTGTTGTGTGTCCCTTTATTTTGTTTTCTCTTTCTGCAGGTCTAGAAGCAGACTCTTGTTCATCATTGATTGTTTATTTTTATGATTCCTGTCTATTTATCAAGATGCTGTGAATGACCGTATCAAATGTTGCAAAAAGGTCCTGCAGTAGTAAGAGGACATGGGAGCCAGTATTGGATGCAACCAAGATGTCATTTAGCACACATACAGTACACGTCAAAATTTTGGACACACCTTGTCATTCAATGTGTTTTCTTTATTTTCATGTCCATTTACATTGGTAGATTCTCACAAAGGCATCAAAACTATGAATGAACACACGTGGAGTTGTGTACTTAACCAGAAAAAGAGAAATTACTGAAAACATGTTTTTTATTCTATTTTCTTCAAAAAGCCACCCTTTGCTCTGATTACTGCTTTGCACATTCTTGGCCTTTGATGAGCTTCAAGAGGTAATTACCTGAAATGGTTTTTCAAAAGTCTTGAAGGACTACCTCAGTCAAAAAGTGTGTCCAAACTTTTGGCCTGTACTGTATGTGGGCAGATTCTGTGCTGTGTGAGGGCCTGAAGCCAGACTGAAATAGGTCAAATAGGCAGTTGTTCTTTAAATAAGCTGAAAGTTGAGCTTTTTTTTTTCTTTAACCCTCTGGAGGCAGGCGTTGCAGATATGCAACATTAAAACCTACCCACCTGGTTTCTCCACATACGTATTTCATGAGCATTCTTTAAATCAGAAGTACCCCTGAAGGATTTAGTTGTTTGTCCATTTATCAAAACTTATTTTGAGCCTGAGAGGGTTAAAACCTTGGACCGAAATAGAAGTTTGGGGATTAGACATAAATTTGTAAAGTAATTTTGATCTAGACCAGGTTTTTTCAATGGTGGCTGAACCACCACCTTTTTAAAGGCCACATGAAATACTGCAAAGGATAGGCTGTTGTTGATAATGTTCAAAACGACAGGGCTCACTTCAGGGTGGACCCCATGTAACAATTTTGGAGATAGGGAGTCTGCTGCAGAGCCTGAGAGCCTTATGGACCCGATCAGTTTATCCAAATCAGCAAGTGAAACATGATCAAAAGCATAGAATGAGAGGACATGATGGCTTGAAGAAGAAGAAGAAAATATCATTTCTATAGCGCCTCTCAAGATAAAAATCATGAGGTGTTTCACAAAAACAAAAAAAAGTAAAAATATAAAAAAGAATTTCGAAAATGGTTAAAATTATATTTAAAATGAGCAAAAAATAGACAAATGTGATTAAAAGATATTAATAAAGGCTGAGAGTGAATAGGAAAGAGGGAAGTCAGTGGATCCTGAGGAAGGTGGAATAGGTGGGGAGAGCAGAATAAAGAGAGAGTGGTGAAGAAGGTCATACAAAAGCCAGCTTGAACAAGTGAGTCTTCAGCTGCTTTTTAAAGGAGACCACTGAGTCCACTGATCTCAGGCTCGGGGGAGAGAGTTCCAGAGTCTGGGGGCCACAGCAGCAAATGATCTGTCACCTTTGGTCTTTAGCCTGGTGCGCTGCACAACCAGTAGGCTTTGATCACTGGACCTCAGGGACCTGCTGGGGGTGTAGGGACTAAGAAGATCACCAATGTAAGATGGTGCTTGTCCATGTAAGACCCTATAGACCAGAACCAGGATCTTGAAATGAACCCTGAAGTTGACTGGCAGCCAGTGAAGCTGGAGGAGAAGCGGGGTGATGTGGGTGTGTTTGGAGGGCTTGGTCAGAAGCCGAGCACAGGCATTCTGAACCACCTGTAGATGGTTCAGGGAGGTTCTGCTCAGACACGTGAAAAGAGAGTTACAGTAGTCTAAGCGTGAGGAGATGAAGGTGTGGATAACTGTCTCAAGTTCAGAGCGGGACAGAATGGGACTCAGCTTAGCAATGTTCCTGAGATGGAAGAAGGAAGAGCGAGCAAGAGAACTGACATGAGAATCCAGGGTGAGAGCTGGGTCAAAGGTCAAACCAAGATTCCAGACGGAGGGTTTGGTGTGAGAAGCAAGCTGGCCAAGAGAGTCTCTGACTTTGGGAACCAGCTTGTCTGGGGCACAGATGAGGATCTCAGTCTTATTTTCATTCAGCTGAAGAAAGCTCCCAGCCATCCAGGTTTTAATAGAGTCTAAGCAGGTGTGTAACAGCTGCAGCTTAGCTCCGTGTTGTGTCACAGTCTGTTCCCTGCCTCCCAACTCCGGTGTCTGTGAATTGTCCCACCTGCCTCTCATTCCTTAATCACCATGTATTTTAGCCCTGTTAGTTCTGTGTGTTTTGTTGGACCGTCTGCATTAGTTTTGTTAATCCTGCCTGTCTGCTGGTCCTCCTGTGTTGCTGTCCCTGTTGTCTCCCAAGCACTGAAAGGCTTTTTATTTTTGCTCCCACGGTTGCCTCCAGTGCGCTCTCACTCACCTAACTTGAAACAACCCCTCAACATGGCACACCATGGGTAACCGCTATCACAAAGCTGTGCCCAACATTCTGGATTTTTTGCAGAAAATAGTTCTGGAGTGCAGTGTTTAGTAGGGATGTCCCGTTTTGATATCAATATCAGAAGTAATTCGATATCGGCCCCAAAACACTGTCTCAGATTATATCGGAGAAATCAAAAATCTCCGATGTAAGCAGTCCGTTAAGGTTCACATTTTTGCAACCGAAGGTAAATAAAAAAATGTCACTTTTTTCATAATTACTGTTATTCTCTTTCTCCATTTGAGTAATATCTCTTAATCAAGCCTCAAATAGGTTAAAGCCTGTATGATTTGTGCTGATATTGTATCGGATTGATATTGTTATCGGTCAATACTTAAGGCTGCAATATCGGTATAGCATCGGAAGCGGAAAAGTTGTATCGGGACATCCCTGTTGTTTAGGGTAATGCTGTGTGATATACCACAATTACACATCTATAAATCTATAGCTTTTTATTCTTTTTTAAATCTTGTTATCATGATCTCCGCAGTTCTGTGGTACTGGTTCTGATTATACTGATTCAGTTGCAATGAGAACCTAAAAAACAAGTGTGCACTGGCCTGAGTAAAAACAAACTGTGACAAGGTGCCGAGAATAGAAATCAATCTAGCAGGTATCAAAATGGATTTTCTGTTCAAAAGCAGCTATTAACTTACATTTAACAGACTGCTTTATGATTCAGCTATGATGTGTATGAAATGTGCTGATCAGGCCCAACACTCCCTACATGGGTATGTAGAACTGATTTCATTGGAGGTTATAACCAAACTAAAGAGTGAGATTAATGTAAAAAACAAAGAAAATTATTTCTTACTTGTAAAGTGATAAATGAGATATTTTGCATTGTGTTTCCATAAAATTGTTATAAACCTTTGATTTCATGTGTAGATAATTCACCAAATGGCAAAAATGAAAGATTCCTGGCCAGCCCAGTTGATGAAATGTAATTGTCTCACTACTTAATTTATTATCTCCCTAACTCTGTCATGCACATATTGGTTCAAATGCAACTTTTACTAACTACTGTTTTACTCCAGCGGTCATTTACATCCTCATAGAAGCCTCTGATGCAAAAACACTAAAATGCTAATAAAAGTTATCACAAATACAAGTGACTTTATTACAAAAACCTTTTTGTTTATACAAGTCATTCTTCTACGATTCTGCTAAATGTGACATCAGAATGTGGGCCAGAGACAATTACAGTACAGAAAGAGCAGGATGCATAGCAATGGAAGTAAAATCTGTCTTTTGCCTTTGTAGAAAACGGTTTAATATCATCGTTCTCTAAATATGGGAAGAGTAAAATCTACCAAACAGATTAAAAACATTTTCAACCTTAAAAAAAGATCATTTTGATGAGTGCATAAAGAAAATTCAATAAGCAACCATTTTTGACCTCAGGTAGAACTAGTGTTACATTCAGAAGCATTTATAATTTTATAATGAAACAACAGAGTATAAAACAAAAAGCTTATTGAATGGCCTCAACAGTGAAAATGGAGCTTTCTGCTCAAACATTGAATATTTCTCTCTTCCCAGGATCATAAAAGTTGAGTGACATTTTATAAGAACGGAATGAACATTTTTGAATCAAAACCAGTAAAAAGACATTCACAAAATGGAAAATGATTCATTATCATCCTCAATGCAGTCCCATTAAAAACATTTTTGTGAACACAGGCAAATATACAGTTTGGTTTGAACTGTATTCAAATATTGTCCACTGTCAAATTTCAGTCTAAACAAAGCAAACATATACAGTAGTCAGTCACCAAAAAGTGCATATTCATGAAAAAGTGATAAAAGAAAAACATTTTCTAGAAGTTTGAGTTTCCTAAATAACAGAACAGCATGTCTACATGTTCACAGTAATGTTCCACAGAAATACATCCATCCAAAGACGAAACCAGTCCTGAGAAAATAAACCTCTACAACTCAACAATGTTCTGTCGAGTTTTAGTGCATTTTTCTTTTCACAATCTCCAGTGTTTAAAATGTCATTGAATAGAAAATATGTGTGCCCAGCGCGTAGAACAAAAAGAGTCAAAAACAACACGGGCCTGCCAACAACCCCGTTGGCATGAAGGACACACGAGGACAGCACACTGTAGCAGTCACGGTTTTGGTATGTGTGGGTTCTTTGTTTGGACAGTCAGACAGCAAAACACCTCCACATGCCATCTATGCGAGTTCTAGCTGTATGTTTAGTGTCTGCCTTAGCTTAAACTTCAAGCTCAACAAAAGCAACTCACAAAGCAAGGCTACCATGCATCAAGTATCCATGCAGATCGTCCTATTTTCTACACAGTCAGGTACATTTGTGATATGCTATTGGAGTAAAATATTCAACCCATCATTCAACCGGTTGTTGTCCACACAAAGATGTACTCTTCATACAGATTCCTACAGACCCTTCGCTGCCATTGTTGGAGAGCTTTCTTGGACCCTGTTCCTTATTTTCTATGTTCTCCGATGCTCCAAGGCTGGGCTTGGCTCTGGTGCTGCATCATACATGAGGTGCTCAGACACAAAGGTAATCATGTGGGTGACCTCTCAGCCTCATCTGAAAAAACAGAGAAGGGTTACCAAAACATGCTACTCTACAGGATGCTTGAGTAAGCAGATTCCTGACCTGGGGGAGAGAGGGAGTTGTCCTCCCCTGTTGGGACAAACTGCAAATCAGAGTCCAGAGCAGCTATGGAGCTCCTCGGACGGAGGCACCGGTCACCTGAGAAGCTTCTGCGGAGTAACGCCTAAGCCCAGAAGCATAGCATGAGTCATAGTCACAGAGCCTTCCACTGTTTAGATTTCCAAAGTAAATTTTTAATAAATTGTTTCTAAAAATGATTGTTTAAACTTTGTTGCTTTCCAATAGATGTTGCACATTCCAGTTTTCAAGCAATCAGGTGAAAGTTCAGGGTTCTTGTTGAACAGGGATTCCCTAAGTGTGGGGTGCGCGAGCTGCCGCTAGGGGCTGCGCGAGGTGAAAAGTGTAATGGCTGCAGAGCTCAGAGAAGTCTGTCGATGGTCAAAAGTCACCATTAGCATTGCCAGAAACACATTTGTGGGTGGGCCTAAGAAAAAGTAAGTGGGCCCATTAAATGCAATTGAAAACGAGTATATTTTGCTTGTGTGTGTGTGCGTGCGTGCGTGTGTGTGTGTGTGTCCTCCGCATGTGCCCAAGCTTCATAATAATAATGCACTCCGAGCTTCAGCACTCTGACCTGCGCACGCTGTCAATAGCAAGAAATGTTCCGTATTTGATAATTTTTAACGATGTTGGAGGAATCTGAAGGTGGTGAGTCATTCTGGCAGATTGTAATTAACACCCTGTCTCATGCAGGTGTTCTGACATTGTAAACCTCACACACAGAACATTGTGGATGTAACAAAATAAATCAAGAAATGATTCCCATCTGAGCATTTTAGCATTATTATATTAACACACTGACTAAACGTGTCAGCGCTAACTAAACAGCGCGCTGAAGATCTGAAGTTCAGAGTGCGTCTGTCAGAGGTCAGACGCGTTCCAGCGGAACCACGGCTCACGGGTGCACATGTGAGCACATCTGGGCTGGGCAGCAGTAATTTTACAGCATTGGTTTAAATAGCGCCAATAACGAGAAGCGGTGACTGGAGCGGCTCAAGGAGCTGTGCCGCACACACACACATACACACACACACATACTGATTCAACAAGCGCATGCTGCGCCGCGCCGTCAGACTGAAGGCAGAAATGAGCTCTGCCACTTCCGTGATAAAAACTTTTAAGAGGTTTTATAACAACATTTTTCATTCAAGGTCAAATTAAGATATTAGCTTCCATTTTGGGATGCCGTATTAAAGTCGGGTCCGCTCCAGCCAGTGACTCCTCATGAACCTGACCACAACTCATGTTACTGCAGCATTTGTTATTCTAGTCCGTGTGGCAGCTGATCGCAGATTCAGGCACACCATAAAACAGCAATAAGTCGGTCTGAGGCAGAAGTGAACGTCATGGCTATAGCTTTTCTATCTTTCCCCCTTTAGACATTTGATTACGCACAAGTAGGTGATCAGCTCAGGTTTACGCAGAGCAGAAGGAAGGAGAGAGCTCTGGTTAAACGTTCCCGCTTTAAGAAAACCGTTAAATTGCATTGTTTATTTGCTACCTGGGCACTCTAAATATTGATTTAAAATTAAATCAAAGGAAATTGTAATGGTATCTAATGTTTATTCATTACCATTTCAAAAATACATAATACATAAACATAAAAATGAAAGTGATGGGGAAAAAGGTTGATCATATTTCTTTAACCCTGTCTGTCGAGTGACTGTTTAGCGTGACGTCTGATATATATATATATATATATATATATATATATATATATATATATATATATATATATATATATATATATACAGTTGTGGTCAGAAGTTTACATACACTTGTAAAAAATATAATATAATGGCTCTACTGAGTGTCCCGTTATTTCTAAAACTCTGATTTTTCTCTGATAGAGTGATTGGAACAGATACTTCTTTGTCACAAAAAACATTCATGAAGTTTGGTTCTTTAATGTCTTAATTATGGGTTAACAGAGAAAAGTGATCACATTTGCTGGGTCACAAACATACATACAGCAACATGATCTAGCAATTTTGGTGACTTAGAAACGTGTCAGTGAACTGAGCTTCATAGCATGGCCTCTTAACTTCTTGTGAGTGATTATGAGTGACTACAGCGGGTGACTTCTCTTAGGCCAGGTAAATAGGGCTCATTGGACACAAACGCCCACAAACGCTACAATGGGAAAGTCAAAGGAGCTCAGCATGGATCTGAAAAAGCAAATTATTGACTTGAACAAGTCAGGAAAGTCACTTGGGGCCATTTCAAAGCAGCTGCAGGTCCCAAGAGCAACAGTGCAAACAATTGTTTGTAAGTATAAGGTGCATGGCACTGTTTCATCACTGCCAAGATCAGGGAGAAAACACAAGCTATCACCTGCTGCTGAGAGAAAATTGGTCTGGAGGGTAAAGAGTGAACCAAGAATCACCAAAAAGCAGATCTGCCAAGAATTAGAAGCTGCTGGAACACAGGTGTCATTGTCCACAGTCAAACGTGTTTTGCATCTCCATGGACTGAGAGGCTGCCGTGCAAGAAGGAAGCCCTTGCTCCAAAAGCGGCACCTTAAGGCTCGACTGAAGTTTGCTGCTGATCACATGGACAAAGATAAGACCTTCTGGAGGAAAGTTCTGTGGTCAGATGAAACAAAAATCAAGCTTTTTGGCCACAATGCCCAGCAATATGTTTGGAGGAGAAAAGTTGAGGCCTTTAACCCCAAGAACACCATGCCTACAGTCAAGCATGGTGGTGGGAATATTATGCTGTGGGGCTGTTTTGCTGCCAATGGAACTGGTGCTTTACAGAGAGTAAATGGGATGATGAAGAAGGAGGATTACCTTCACATTCTTCAACATAACCTAAAATCATCAGCACGAAGGTTGGGTCTTGGGCGCAGTTGGGTGTTCCAACAGGACAATGACCCCAAACACACATCAAAAGTGGTAAAGGAATGGCTAAACCAGGCTAGAATAAGGGTTTTAGAATGGCCTTCCCAAAGTCCTGACTTAAACCCCATTGAAAACATGTGGACATTGCTGAAGAAACAAGTCCATGTCAGAAAGCCATCAAATTTAACTGAGCTTCACCAATTCTGTCAAGAGGAGTGGTCAAAGATTCAACCAGAAGCTTGCCAGAAGCTTGTGGATGGCTACCAAAAGCGCCTAATTGAAGTGAAAATGGCTAAGGGACATGTAACCAAATATTAGCACTGCTGTATGTATATTTGTGACCCAGCAAATGTGATCACTTTTCTCTGTTAACCCATAATAAAGACATTAAAGAACCAAACTTCATGAATGTTTTTTGTGACAAAGAAGTATCTGTTCCAATCACTCTATCAGAGAAAAATCAGAGTTTTAGAAATAACGGGACACTCAGTAGAGCCATTATATTATATTTTTTACAAGTGTATGTAAACTTCTGACCACAACTGTATATATATATATATATATATATATATATATATATATATATATATATATATATATATATATTGCCATGTCCTGATGTGGGGCTGGGGGGTGCGTCGACATGGTCGGGACATAGAAGGGGGTGTGTGGCTAAATAAGTTTGGGAACCACTGTTGTAGAACAATTATTACATGTAAAGACAGGTTCCGTAAAATAAGTGTCATAAGTGAATATGTGCAAAGTATACATGCTTACTTTCCGTGTCATGGGGCTGGTGGGAGCGGAAGCACTGCTGTACAGGCTGAGGCTTGAGTTGGATCTGCTCACAGCCAAACCCTTAGCAGTGTTTCCAGTCGGCGACAAGTACTTCTCTTTGATCTTGAGGTTGGTTCGACCCTTTACTGTTGACAGTAAACAGATAGCAGAAGTTAAGAGAACACAATAAAACCTGTTATTTATCAGCCACACCTGTTAAAACAATGAACTGAACAACCAAGTTATCAATGTGAAATTATTCAAGTTCAAAAGATGCCTTATGGTAGAGAAATTAACATTAATTTCATGGTCAACAGCTTTGGTAGAAATTCCTGCAGTCAGAATGCCAGTTGCACGCTCCCTCAAAAGACATCTGTGGCATTGTGCTGTGTGATCATACTGCACATTTTAGAGTGGTATTTTGTTGTTGACAGTCTAAGGCCCACCTGTGCAAAATTCATACTATATACTCAGCAACTTGATAGGCCACACCTGTGAGGGAAATGTCTTATGGAGAAAATGGGATAGACCATCTCAGCTAAGGAGAAGTGCTCACAGATTTAGAAAGATTTGTGAACAATATTTGAGCGTAATGGTCTTTTGTCCATCCAATCTTCCATCCATCCATCAATTTTCCTCCATTTATCAGGGGTCGGGTCATGGGGGATGGACGGACAGACAGGTAGATAGATTACCTGTAAAGTTCCTGAAGAAACTTAATGGGCTCTGCTATGTGCAGTATTTAGTACAAGAGGCGAGATGTTATCTGTTGTAACTTTCAGATAGAAACACACTTCATAACGGTTCACAAGCCTCTTTAAGTACAGAATCAGCTGTACTTAAAACAAAAATGTGCTGAATGGTGTGAATAAAAATAGATATGGGGGGGCATGGAATAACCAATCAAATATCTCTTTACTATCTATAATAGTTCTCTAAAATATTTCCATACAAACCATACAAACCATCTGCTTCAGTCTTAGGACCTGATGTAGTACCAGCTCTCTTTCATCTGCTCATACAAACCTCTACAAGGGTCATTCTTAACCAAGAACTCATCAAGAGCAGTCCAGCCTCCTCCGACCCTGACCATCAACGTGTGCCTCAGGATTCGAACCATCCTCAACTGTTGGGAATCTCCAAACTATAAAATACATCACACACGGTTATAGATCAGGTTTTTGTACAGATCATGTTTTTTTTGTTTAAATGCACACTCACTCTATATCTGTTGGCACTTATTTGCTCCACGTTGAATCTCTTGGGGCAGTTACAAAGTGAAACCTGTCGGCTGACCTATGAAAAAAATGTAATAAAATGACATGTTTTGTATTAAACGCACATTTTTAAATGTAGGTGTCAGCGTCCTTACTTCCTCGTTGATTTGATCTGCATCCAGTGTTTTCCTGTAGGGATCTCTGCTGGGATGGAGGGCACTGACAAACTCATAGTAGTCAATGAAGCCATCACTGTTCAAATCAAAAATGTTTGCCACTGCGTTCATTTCCAGAGAGTTGGTTGGAAATTCTACAATCAAGGAGTAGGAGGAAAAGAAGTTCAGAAATCTAGCCTGAATTGAAGTTTTGGTTTGACAGTTTGGGGCAAGAAGAGAGTCCTACTGGATGCAAGGACATAATCAGTGAACTCTTTCAGGCTGATTCGTCCATCCTGGTCCCGGTCAATGGTGCGGAACACGTCTAAAATCCGAGACTTCATATGACTAATCCACTGGATGTAACGCTTTCGCCAAATATTGAAGTCAAAGTTAGCAAATTCTTCCATCTGGAAAAACAAGAAACACATCAGAACTTTCACTGTCTGTTGGCCTCAAACCACAAAACACAAATCCAAGCTCAATGTGGGCCACAAAGTAATATTTAATAAGGGCACAGAAACCTCTCTGAGCATTTGCTGATGTTGTTCCAAGCGGTTTTGTCTCGCCGCAGCCAGGCGCCAAAGTTTCTGCCACTGACTGATCAGCTGACTGAGCTGAGGGGTCTGAGGGTCCAGGTGTTCGAGGGGGACCGGAATGATGGGTGGGAGCTTCACGGTGCTTCTCCTCTCTGAATCAGTCACATGAGTGTCAAAGCATCAGTCCACTTCAGATGATACCTTCTGGTCATGAAGCCATCAGCCTGAATGTAAATTATGATGTCTTACTTGTGAGTGGGCGCTTGCTCGGGGAAACCTGGTGTTTGGGACTACTTTTATGTTTACAGGAGTGTGTGGCTTGTTCAACATCTGAGAACTTTTTGTTCAATTCCTCCATGAACACCTGCAGAGAGCATTGATCAGTGATTACACAGCACATGAAATAAGAAATGTTTCAGTGGAAATAAGGACACACAGAGAAGTACTGACAAAACATCACCTTCTATATACTTTTATTTATTAAAAGTATATTTTTGATTCCAATTTTTTGTGCAAACACTTATCTTTGGGGCAATGCTGAGGCTTTTCTGTTTGATACATGTTGTTAATAACTTCAATCTTTAAAGGAGATGCATTAGGACTTTTTATCTTAAGCTATAATAGTTCTATGGTTAACACTATGCATGTTTATGAAATTATTAGAACTGAATCTCTCTTACATGAAGCAATATCAGCAGTCTCTGTACTTTAAAGAATGAGCTGTTTCAGGGCTCTGTCACTTTTGGAAAACAAGCTAGAGCTGGCAACGCACACCCTTAACCTGCTCAGGCTGCTATAAGCTGAGAAGCTCCGATTTCCTCAGAGTACAGCCGCTGCTCTTCCAGCAGCAGCACACGAGAGGTGGTTCTATTCTAGTTTCCCCATTTGTGACATCACAAATTGAAACTTTTTGAAAGGCTTTTTTCAGACGCATAATTCCCAACATTGACAAGAGATGTAAGGATGAGTGTTTTTCCTGTTTGGAATGTTAATAGAAGCAGTAAAGAACCACATAGCAGCACAAAAGGATGCAAAACGCAAGTTTTTTTTTTGCAAGTATCCTTTACAACAATTTCTTTTTTGTACATACATACATATGTGTGTATATTTCATATATATATATATATATATATATATATATATATATATATATATATATATATATATATATATATACACACACACACGTACACATACTTGGTAATGTGACAGGGTTTTTTTTACTGTTTTTGTGTGGACGGAGATATTTCTATTGAGGGTTGAAAGGACTAATTTATAAACAAAGAAGCTCTGGTAGAGAAGATGAGGCTATTGAGTTTCTCAGCATGTTAGGGAGACTCAAACTGTACCGTGTGCTGCTGAAGAAGTTCCTGGTTCTGCTCTGTGGTCTCAGGTAGAGGCTCCTGATTTTTGAGGTTGAGAGCTTCCCCTGCTGATGAGATCCAGTCCAGTAGTCTCTGGACTTCTTCTTTTTCTGCCTCCAGAGCTGCCAGGTTGGCCTGGATCTTCTGGCCCTGCTGCCGGGCCCATGTCTGAACCTGGTTCAGGAAAATGTTGCACATGTCTCCAACTGTGACTCGTGTGCTTAGCGACTTAAATGGCATTTCTGTTTCTGTGTCATTTGACCACAAAAGCACTCACCTCCTCATAGCGGATCTTAGTGACGCTGATCCAAGATTTGAGCGTTATTATTGAGTCTGGGTGACACAAGGCCAGAATCTCCTCACCTAGATTTTGGATGTTCTCTAGTTCTGCTTCTTGAGTCTGCAAAGCAGCCAGTGACTCCTGAAGGGGACCGGAGGGGAAATATATCCTCAGTTTCATCCAGTATCATGTTGTGTGGCTTAAAATGTTGAATATAAAACTCCCTGCTCTTTTCCAGAACAACAACATTTCTTGAAGCTCACAGCTGTCCTCCTTTCACCTGGGCTGATGTGTCCCTGAACCAAACTCTCACTCCTTATCTATTCCTACGTTTTTCTGCGACTGCCTATTTGGCCTTCCTAGGAGACGATAAGATGGGAACGAGGCATTTCCCTCTCGGGAGCTGCCAAGTAACTGACCTTGTGTTGCTTGTGGAAGGAACGCAAACCACCCTCCTCCTCGGGTATGATCCCGTATTTTAGGATCCTCTCTGCCTCTGTGAGCCTCTCCATGAAAGAGTGAACAATAGCATCAAACTTCTCAGCCTGAGAACAACAGAAAAATTGAAGATAAGAGAGGAAGAGTTTTGTCTGATGACAGGCACATTTATCTAGATTAACCTTGAAGAAAAACTTTATTGAAATAGTCAAAAGAATACGTGTTACGTTTTCTGAGCAAGATACACATTTTTAAAACATTTGTACTTTATAGCTCAGAAATCTGATTTTACCGCTAAACATTGTAGGTCTTTATGTTTTGAGTGGTACCTGCTGAAGCGCAGCCTCCAGCCTGTCCTGCTTGCTGACTGATAGTGTACACACGGCCTCCCAGCGGCCCCCCAGTTCCTCCATCTGCTCCTGCAGCCAGTGAGCATCTGCAGTGCTGCTCCTGGTCAGATCTCTCACAGAGCGCTTCAGGGTCCTTATGCATCCAGCTCGTTTCCCCAACTCCTTCTGGAAGGCCTTAAAAAAAAACCTGCAGATGAGTTTCTATAAGACAGGACAGTTCTTCAGGTGGACATTCAAGAGTTAAAGTGTTACGTTGCACACCACATGTTGCAGGTAAGCTATGCACTGCTCTGATGTGGTTTAACAATCACAAACCAGTCATCAGCTGTACCTTGTGTTTGTCTATGAGATTGTTGATGGTGTCTTTGTCTCCACCAACAGGGACATCCTCGGCCAGTTGGGGCTCTGCTCTGTAGAGCCAGTCATTCAGCGCCTGCAGAGCGTCAGTGAATCTTCCTGAGAACAGCAGCGCTTCCTCCAGTTTATGTTGTCTGAGGAATAAGAATAATCATTCAGTAACACATGAACCAACATGGCTAATAAGAAGGTAGGAACATGTCCTGATTCAACCCGTCCACACCTCTCAATGGACTTGCCACCGATGGTGTCCCATGTGTCCTTGAGTTCAGCCAGCAGGTTCTCCAGATGCTGCCGATCACGGCTGCTCTGGGCTCGTTCATGGAGGCTGCGGCCACTCTTCATTGTGGCCTCGTACATGGGTCGCTTCAGTCTTAGCAGTTTCTGAAACTCCTGATTATGAAGAAACTGTGATTAAGTGACTAAAGTATGAGAGTTCATAAAGGTGCAATCAAACTGTATTGATGCTTCACCCTCTGTTCAGTTAGTTGTTGCTTTATCTCATCGTGGGACGCAGCAATCTCTTTATGAGTGTCTAATGTCTGCTCCACCTCACTCATCCAATCCACAAGAAGCCGCCAAGATTCGTTAAACTGAAATGAGACAGATAAAGACAGATTTGATTGTAATCTCCATCTCCTCAGCACATTTCAAATGTAGCTTAACAGGAAGAAACACTTTTTTTTTACCTGTTTAACATTCTTTTTCACCTCTTCCAGCATCCTGCCTCTCTCTGACGCTCGCTGGTGGAGCTTTTTGTATCGATCCTGAACAGCCATGATTAGGTTATGGATGACATCACAGTCTTCCTTCCTGCTCAGCTCCGTTAGCATGCGGCCTGTGTTCTCCACAGAAGTCTTCTTCTCGCTGTAGGCGTTAACCTCATTCAACAAAGCCTGTGAGGGTGATGACATTGTTTATATTTGTTCATTGAGATGTAATCTAACATGAATGCTTCTGGTCTGTGGGAGAGAACCGGAGTACCCAGAGAAAAGTCATGCATGCCTGGTGGAACATGCACTTTCCTCACAGAAAAGCTGCAGCTAGGGTTCACACCTGTGACCTTCTTGCTGTGTGGCAGCAGTACTACCACCTGCTCCACCATACTACTAGAAGCTTACCCTGTGTTCTTGCAGCTGTGTGGACACTGTGTCCAGAACAAAGCTGGGAGGAGAAAGATGCCCGATAGACTCTTCACACTCATTCATCTTTGTTAGAATTTCCTGCACGCTGCTGTGAAACTCCTTGGCCAGATGCAGGCCTTCTGTCAGCTTCGCCTGTAATTAGAGCACCATCCTGGGATGTAATCACGCTCTAAAAGTCACCACGGACAGCTTTTTTGACTAGACACTATAAAGTTAAATTACCTTGCGCTCTTGTACTTTGTTGTAAACAGAGGTCCACTTTTGATCTAGAATGAATAAGCTGTGCTCGGTGCATGACCCTCGCACAAGGTCGCTTTGCTCCAGCATCCTGTGGATGGCACTCTTCACATGTGTGTAGGCATGAAACTTTGACTCCATCTCATTGCACAACTCCTGTTGTGGGATGCAGGAGAACAATAAATGTAGTCAATGGACAGTGAGGTCATTTTTTATGAGTACGTCTCTTTAATAAAATATTTTAACACTAAATGAGCATTACTAGGTGTACGCTGAGCCTTTCACTTGCAGAATCGGGCATGCCCCACATGGTTTTGGAAGAGGTTAATCTCAGATCAGTGTTATCCAGCCACTGAAGAAGGTCCTGAATCTCCACGGTGACGTCTTGCACCTAACATGAAACAAAGCAAACTTTAAATAAGGACACAAACAGTAGTAGTGACTGAGGAAAGTGATTTTTTACAGCAGTGCAATGAAATTTTGTTCATTTAGAAAATGAATGAGTGAGTTCTATATTAAGATCACTTCATGTTGAGAAATATAGGAGTTGGGTCAGGGGGAAAATAATGTTATGTGTGATCTAATACAATATAACAAGGGCTTGTACAGTATTTTAGAACTCAGAGTATGTATTGGAGATGAAACTCAGCAACCAAAACATCATTTTCTAGTTTAACCCTTTGATGCATAATGGGCACTACAGTGGACATGTACTCAAAATTGTTATTTATTTATTTTTGCTATTAAGCACAGCTGTTGAAGACTTCATTGCATGTGAGCCCCTCCATTTGAGCTTCAGCAAGTCAAGCCAACATATTCCATGTTCAGAATGCACGCTGTCCACTGAGATGGACATGTAATAAACTATTTGTAAATTAACAAAATGTTACAAAAATATTTGTTGAAATTTGTTTCATTCACACCTAAAGATGAATGAAAAAAAATTGTTTAAAAAATCATGGTTGAAGATTTCATAATTCATGCATCAAAGGGTTAAAAGCGCTAAAACTGACTGAGATATAGCCATACTAGTGATGGGTCGCTAGTATGGTAGCTCTCTAAATAAGTGACTCCCAAACTTTCCAGTTTCAGACTCACAAGACAACAATTGTCAAGATCATGGACGTAATAATTTTCACTTTAGAAGTGGAGGGGATGGGGGGGGGGGGGGGTATCTTTACAGTATGCTCTAATGGGAAACGGGCTTCAACACAAATGGTTGTTTTCTGCTTGGTCCTAGAGCTCAACCAGTGTCAATTTAATATAGCGTAATATTGGTTTTGGATGGTAAAAAGTGCATGGGTCAAAACTTGACTTTGGAAAAAGTGGGGAGGACATGTCAAACCCCCCCCCCCCCCCCCCAAAATTACGTCCATGGTCAAGACATGCATCCCCAGAAATATCTGACTTGATGATACAAACATGCGCAGAAAGCTAAATAATTCAGGGCACAAAGGGAAACCCATCAGCTCATGTTCAGTTATATCCATTTATGACAATTTAGTTATGTTTTTGTAAAAATTATGCCATGAATACAGGGAGTGCAGAATGATTAGGCAAATGAGTATTTTGTCCACATCATCCTCTTCATGCATGTTGTCTTACTCCAAGCTGTATAGGCTCGAAAGCCTATTACCAATTAAGCATATTAGGTGATGTGCATCTCTGTAATGAGAAAGGGTGTGGTCTAATGACATCAACACCCTATATCAGGTGTGCATAATTATTAGGCAACTACCTTTCCTTTGGCAAAATGGGTTAACAGAAGGACTTGACAGGCTCAGAAAAGTCAAAAATAGTGAGATATCTTGCAGAGGGATGCAGCAGTCTTAAAAACGCAAAGCTTCTGAAGCGTGATCATCGAACAATCAAGCGTTTCATTCATAATAGTCAACAGGGTCGCAAGAGGCGTGTGGACAAACCAAGGCACAAAATAACTGCCCATGAACTGAGAAAAGTCAAGCGTGCAGCTGCCAAGATGCCACTTGCCACCAGTTTGGCCATATTTCAGAGCTGCATCATCACTGGAGTGCCCAAAAGCACAAGGTGTGCAATACTCAGAGACATGGCCAAGGTAAGAAAGACTGAAAGACGACCACCACTGAACAAGACACACAAGCTGAAACGTCAAGACTGGGCCAAGAAATATCTCAAGACTGATTTTTCTAAGGTTTTATGGACTGATGAAATGAGAGTGAGTCTTGATGGGCCAGATGGATGGGCCCGTGGCTGGATTGGTAAAGGGCAGAGAGCTCCAGTCCCACTCAGACGCCAGCAAGGTGGAGGTGGAGTACTGGTTTGGGCTGGTATCATCAAAGATGAGCTTGTGGGGTCTTTTCGGGTTGAGGATGGAGTCAAGCTCAACGCCCAGTCCTACTGCCAGTTTCTGGAAGACACCTTCTTCAAGCAGTGGTACAGGAAGAAGTCTGCATCCTTCAAGAAAAACATGATTTTTATGCAGGACAATGCTCCATCACACGCGTCCAAGTACTCCACAGCGTGGCTGGCAAGAAAGGGTATAAAAGAAGAAAAACTAATGACATGGCCTCCTTGTTCACCTGATCTGAACCCCATTGAGAACCTGTGGTCCATCATCAAATGTGAGATTTACAAGGAGGGAAAACAGTACACCTCTCTGAACAGTGTCTGGGAGGCTGTGGTTGCTGCTGCACACAATGTTGATGGTGAACAGATCAAAACACTGACATAATCCATGGATGGTAGGCTTTTGAGTGTCCTTGCAAAGATAGGTGGCTATATTGGTCACTGATTTGTTTTTGAATGTCAGAAATGTATATTTGTGAATGTGGAGATGTTATATTGGTTTCACTGTAAAAATAAATAAATGAAATGGGTATATATTTGTTTTTTGTTAAGTTGCCTAATAATTATGCACAGTAATAGTCACCTGCACACACAGATATCCCCCTAAAATAGCTAAAACTACAAACAAACTAAAAACTACTTCCAAAAACATTCAGCTTTGATATTAATGAGTTTTTTGGGTTCATTGAGAACACTGTTGTTGTTCTCGTCTCGTCTCGTCTTCCTCCGCTTATCCGGGTCCGGGTCGCGGGGGCAGCATCCCAACTAGGGAGCTCCAGGCCGTCCTCTCCCCGGCCTTGTCCACCAGCTCCTCCGGCAGGACCCCAAGGCGTTCCCGGACCAGATTGGAGATGTAACCTCTCCAACGTGTCCTGGGTCGACCCGGGGGCCTTCTGCCGGCAGGACATGCCCGAAACACCTCCCCGGGGAGGCGTCCAGGAGGCATCCTGACCAGATGCCCAAACCACCTCAACTGGCTCCTTTCACTGTTGTTGTTCACTAATAAAATTATTCCTCAAAAATACAACTTGCCTAATAATTCTGCACTCCATGTATAACTATGGGAGACAATTCTACACAATGTGTAGTGCTCTGAGACTGTGACAAGATGGCTGAATACTGAACTCTTACGAACACTATAAAGTTGCAAACACCTTCAATCACTTGACCAAAGGACAGTTTAATTCCAAAATAAATCAGTGAAATAAACTAACTTTTTTTTCATGCTTTCTTTATGGCTGAGGGACAGTTTCTCTCTCACAGCCGTGTGCAGTAACCAAAGTACAGGTGAAGCTCAAAAATTTGACTATGGTGCAAAAGTTAATGTAGCTCATGAGGTTGATCGTGTTGTCCAGCAATTGGAAGGTTGCAGGTTAAATCCCAGCTCTCACTAGAGAATGTTGCGGTTGTGTCCTTGGGCAAGACACTCAACCGGCCTTGCCTGCCGGGGTGGTCGGAAGGACCGAGCGTGCCAGTGTTTGGCAGTCTAGTCTCTGTCAGTGCGCCCCAGGGCAGCTGTGGCTACATCGTAGCTCATCCCCACCAGCGTGTGTGTGAATGGGTGAATGACTGAGTTGTGAAGCGCCTTCGGGGGTTGTAGAACCCTAAAAAAAGCACTATACAAATACAGGAAATTTACCATGAGATACTTTACCAATAACACAGTCAGACAAACCTGCTCACACACTTGCACACAAAGCATTTCTGCAGAGGGCAGCAAGTGTAAAAATTGTGAAAGTTACCACCAGAGGGCAGCAAATGGCGATTTTAAACAGCAGTTGGACAGAGGTGAAAACTGCGTTCTTCTACTACTCTACTGTATGTACGTACAAAAGAAAATATAAGTAAACTTTTTCTTTCATTCTAACAAAAATCAGAAGGGTGTTTTCTTCACCTGACTTAGTCTGTTCTCTAATTCCAGCTGCCTGCGTTCAGTCTCACAGCGAACAAACTCCCAGCTTTCATTCAGCTCCTCCAACTGAGACTGCAGACTGTTTGGGCTGTCCCCAGAGCCAGTCTCCAGCAGCTTCCTGCCTGCCTGGTTCAGAGACTCCACAGTGCGGACATGAGACATGACATCATTTCGTAGCACCTGTGAGAAGAGAGGAGCACGGAAGGTCAGAGATTCATGATGAGATGATTTTTTGGATATAAAAAAGCTCATCACCAACCTTGTGCTTAGCCAGCTCTATTTCACATGCTTGCAGGTCAATGCTGATTGGCTGGTTGGCATGTAGCTGTTCAGCAGTTCGGGAGAGCCATGTGTGCAGCTCATCTAGTGTGTTCTGGAACTGACCCAAACCCAGCAGAGCACACTCCAGCTGATGCTGAAAGCACAAATGGATGAAAAGTTTTTAAATGCTGTAGTTAAAACTGAAAGTAAAACACAAGTTGTGTTCAAAGATTTTGTCACACGCAGTTAAACATTTTAGGAAAGTGGATTGAGTTGAAGAAAGTAGAACATCAGCATTAATGGTGCTTTTGTGTCCCACCTGTCTGTTCACAGTCTCTGTCTCTAGGCTGTCCCAGCGCCGTCTGAAGTCACACAGAGGCGAGATTGAGCCTGGGCGCTCTGAACCAGGAGACAGCCGACACACAAAGTGGTGGTCCAGACTTTCCATCTCGATCTTCTTCTGGTACAGCTCCCGTTTAAATTCCTGGGAAAAACCATGCAAATTAAATATTAAATACCATGTAATTATTCATTCATGCTGTTATTTCTTTTTAAACAAGCTTAGTTGGTTTGACAGCAGGTTGTAAGAGTGTGTTTTTGTACGAGCTCACCTTAAGATCACATAGCTGCTCCTTGACTGATTCCAGGTCAGTTCCTAACATGAACTCCTCTGTGGATCTCAGCTCGGCTGACTTCAACCACTCAAACAGGCCCTGGTAAAAGAGGGGAAAATGCCTTAAATGTTAAAGTATTTGCTTAATTTACTCTTTCCAGGTCCCAGTAACAAACCTAATTAATTTATACAGTGTCCATGTGGGAGACTAACGTGATCTACCACTTATTTACAATAGCTGCAGTTTTAGACTACGCCTGAATGACATTGTCACAATTCCAGTCCTGCCACCCGCTCTACACCAGACATCTCCTGAACTCTACTTCCCAGCATTCCCCGCACTGGTTTCTGCCTCTCCACGTCACTGTGCTCACCCTATTTTAGGATGTTCCTCACAACAATCGTAGCTCAGGGATCGCTCTCTGTCCGTGGCCTTAGCGTTCCATTCCCGGTTCGGGTTGGTTAACTCGTCTAGCACGGTAGCGTGTTTTTGAGTTGATTTAGCTTTTCCAGTGTCGGCTCACTCCTTCACATCGTGCAACCTGAGCTTCCATGCTCACCTCGACCGGTGGCTCCCTGGCTGTTACCGCCGATTCAGTTCAAGTCGGACAACCACAGCTCAACTCGTTTAATCGTCACAGCTCGTCACTCACACCGGGCGATTCCAGAGCTCCCACGCTCCTCTACACCATCTGCAGCCTCCCAACAGTAAGCCCATTCCCTTTACTTTCTGGAACATCGCCACATCCTTGTGGCTCGTACCAGCGTTCCTAGATTAAGTGCGTGTCAGACATCTCCCATCACTAGCACTTCCGTGTTTGGGTCTTGTCACACGCTACACCCCTCCTCACAGCTCACTACGTGGAGCCAAGGTGAGGAGCCTGATCGACATAATGCAGCTCAGACTACACTAACCAGAGTCTAGCTTAATGTGCTTTGATGATTGTGGAACATTTAAAAGGTTTGTGTATGTAAACACATGCTTCAGTACTGACCTGCATGGTGTCTTGGTAATGCAGAGCCATTTGTAACGACTCCTCTAGCTTCTTGTGACTGTCGCTCCAAAGTTTGCTTAAGTTGTTCCAAGTGCAATAAAGCTTTGAAACAACAGATTTGTGTGAATTTAGTTAACACATCATCTGGATTGGCAAAAGGACCCGGAAAATAGCAACGACTTACTTCATCCATGCTCTTTGTGACATCTGGTTTGTCTGTATCCCCGCATGCTACCATCAGGTCCATTCCAAGAACCCCGAGGATGTCCAAATCTCCCTGTAAATTGTCTATGTACTCCCTGAGAGGCTAAAACATTAAAAGATCAAACAGATTATGTAATAATATGTTTCACTATGAAATTAGCTCCTTATGATTAATCTTTGAGGAGCTTCTGAACAAACCTGCATGGATTCAAGACTTTGGCAGATTGTTTCAGAGTCTGCCTGACTGGCATTGAGATCCAATAGAGCCTGTTGAGCGTCATTGAGACCGGTCATCACTTCGCTGACATCCCTCCAATACTTCATAGAAAGATCCAAGACCTTGAGCAGCCAGTTCTCCCTCTCTTGCGCCTGTTTATATGTTTCATCCCATAGAAGGGACAGGCTGGATACTTGCCCCTGGATTGCTGAGAACACAGAAATATTGGGGGTATTACTCAGGGCCCTCATTAAAGAGTAAAAAGCTACATAACTTGTAACTATGGGTTATGTTTGAGAAGAACAGCCACCTGTTCCAATGGATCCATCCCCTGCTGCCTTGGTGTCTGCAAGCAGTTCATCTGCCTGAGTTTTGAGGCTGTTGAGACCTAACTCCAGCTTGGACAGCTCAGCAAGGGTTTGTTTGTTGTCCTGAAGCTGCTCCTGGATCCTCGGGGTGAGGCCTTGAAGAGAAGTGGGGGTCTGTATGCGACCACACAGGCGGTCAAGACTCTCTTTGATGAGAGTCATCCTTTCATTTAACTGTAGAATCCCAAACAAACAGGAAGCTGTTTAACTGAGTGAATTTGCTGTGTACAATACTTATATTGCATTACCAACATTACATTTGAACCATTCTTACTTGAGTGAATCGTGGTAAAGACTCCTCGAGAAGAGTGGCGGTCTCTTTGACACAGTCTCTGATGGCTTTGTGCTGCTCCTCAGCCTCCACTGCTTTTTGGTAGAACCGATCTCCCTGGACTGGGTTTAGTTCCGACAAGCGTTTCGCTGTGACACATAGGCGCGCAATCAAAGGCCGGTGCTCTGCTATGGACTCTCTGAGACCCTGGACAAGCAAAGGAAAAAAAATGTTTAATTGTTTCTTTAGTGTAGCACTTTTCTGACTCAGAGGACTCCACAGCGCTTACACATTCATATACTGGTGGTGATGAGCTACATTGCAGCTACAGCTGCCCCGGGGCACAATGACAGAGGTGAGGCTGTCGGGCACATGTACCACCAGTCCTTCCAACCAGCAGCAGGCAAGGGAGGGTGAAGGGTCTTGCACAAGCAGTAGCGGTTTTAGACACGGGCAGACAGGGCAGTTGCCCGGGGCGGCATTTTTTCATGACACAAAAGGGGCGCACAAGCGCTGAGTAAAAAAAAAAAAAAAGAAATCTGCGCCGCACCGAGGTTTTCTATTAGTGTCTGGATTGGAAACAGCAAGTTGGCGCCCCCTGCAGCTGCAGGCGCTCCTGCTGACTGAGAACTTTCACGTGCACCGTGTGTGTATGGAGAACAGGAAGGGGAGGGGTGCGGCAGGGGAATTCACCTCTGGGTGGGTCCAAATGAAATGAGCGGGTAGGGGCTGAATCAACTGTATTAAGATGGCTAAAGTCAATCACATCTTGATGTTCTTCCATTTAACGCACATTTCATTCATAATATCATAAACACAGGCCTATCATTCTTTCAGGTGTTTCCGAATTGTGTGAAATGGCTGAATAAAAAAAGGAAAAACAAAAGGATTTAGTGGTAACCCCCCATCAAGGTCAAATTGTTTATTCCGGACTAAAGGAAACTTACTGAGTCAGGAGCCAAACAGAAGAGATGAACATAAAAAGGCTAAAACCACCAGGTGCCCGATTCAGGAAAAAAAATAAAAAAAGAGGAGAAAGTTAAAGGTATGTACGCTCTCATGATGCATGTTTTCAGTTTTTTGAACCAGTTAACTGTGATTTTAACGGTTAAATTCAGTCAACTAGTTGCTAACAGAGCTAATAGGGCTGAAATATTGAAACGAATATTCAAATGGTTCAAATAAATTCCTTGAATCGTTTTTTACTGATTCAAACTAGGATTTGTTAAATGCTCGCTGCAGCCCGTGGCCTGCCTGAACAACAACAAACACATGTTGATCTTGTTCACATAATAATAAATAAAACAACTCTACAAGCAGAAGAAAAGTCCCCAGTCACCACTAACTATCCTGTTTATTTATTGCAGATGGCTGCACTGATTATTTTTTACATGATTTGTTCTGTAAAAGTTGGCATTTTTGGTAGTCAACAGTTTTTTTTATGTCAGTTTAAATTACAATTTCAGACGTAATTCTAAAATATTATGGATCATGAGATCTATTGGAGATCTACCCCAACTTTTGGACTGCTCTGCCAGTCACTGTGGCTCAAGCTGAGAGGAGCTTTTCAAAACTTGATCAAGTCATACCTGAGGTCACCTATGTTTCAGGGGTGGCTCACTAACCTGGCTCTGATTAGTATCAATCACTCAGTAGGGGAGCAGATTTCATATGATGACATTATTGATGACATTGCATCAAGGTTAGGTTTTAATTTTAGTTTGTGTTTTCTGTTCTAAGTTGTAGTGATTATCTGTAGTTAGTTATGTGTGAAATATTTTTGCTATTTAGAATATTTATTATATATTATGTGCATATATTCTTAATATTTAGCTAGTTTAGTTGTTTTTGTATGTTTGATTCTATATATTTTGATACAGTATATAATGTATATTGCTTTACATTCTGACAACTTCATAGTACTTAATGTAAATATGTGCAGCTTAGAAAAATGAATGTTCAATAGTCGTTCTAATAAAACATGCCTGTTTGTAGAAAACGTGTGTGTTCGTGCAGGTGGGGTGGTGGTGGTGGCGGTTGGGGGGGGGGGGGGGGGGGGGGGGGGCTCAAGGGGGGCCTCGCCCGGGGAGTAATTCCACTGTGCACAAGGACACAACCACAGAGCTCCCTGCAGGGAGCCGGGATCGATCCTGCAACCCTCTGACTACAAGACAACACATTCTACCTCCTGAGCTACTTCTGCCCTAAATACCCAGTTACACATCAGTGCCAGAAGGTTCTGACGAGTGAAAAAGAGTGCTACACAGGAAGTTGAAAACTAAACATGTTTCACTAATTTTAAAAGTTGTTAGCGAGATACAGAGATCTGGGAGCTTCTGGCCGCTAGAGCTGATGTATAAACTGCCAGACAGTTCATGGGGACTGAGAGGGATAGACTTTGGAGCAGCTCATGAAAAAACTTAAGGGGATAAAAATCAAGTTACATCCATCTAAAAGCACGTCCATGACAGCCATCCCCACACACCCCTTTATACCACTGTTGTGTAATCTTTTGTGAAAAACACATGATCGTGCCACATCACAGCCACATGCTGACCATCAATGAATGACCAAATGCCCCCACATGCCACACCATAGTTTTTCTATATAACCTTCCTTCTAGCACGAATGAGACAGAGACCATTGTGCGATTATTTCACTGTAAACTGTAACTTTAATTTTGGAAATCATGCACATTTTAGATGGCTGCCAAATATGTAAATTTTTTGCACATTTTTGACTGATTCACTATGCAATTAGTCCAAATCCATACGACAATCAGTGCTAACATTAGCCAACCCAACACAGGCTGCAATTCAGGTTTCTTTTAATAACATTTTATCTTGTAATAATGTGTGAGATTGTGCACAAACATTGTTATCAACAAAGTTTACCAAATGTTTTGTTCAAAACGATTGAAAAGCATAAATCTAGAATTCTAAATTAACAAAGGGGTAAGTATCTTTTACCTGCAGGAGGTCATGTTGTTCCCGGAATGCTTCGTAGCTGATTGTACTCAGGGAGAGCTGTCCAACGACAGTCTGAGTTTCTTCTAGCCAGGGAGACACCTCAGCAAGACCCTCAGAGAACTGGGTGAGAAGCGACTGAGCATGCTCAAGCTGCAGAACCACGTGGGCGTTGGTGGCTGAGGTGGTGTTGCACTGTTCCTGTAGAGCCTCCACGGTGGTCTGGGTGGAAGTGAAATTTAACCAAAAGTAATATTTAGCCTTTTTAAATCTGATAATTGTATAAGGAAAAAAGGTTAAGGGTTACCTGAAGATCCTCTGCTTCTCCTTCATCACTATAAGTCATCAGAATTTCTGCAATCTTCACCATCTTCTCAATGTTGAACTTGTGCTGAAGAATCTCTACAGCTAAAATCTGCTCACAAGAAATTAAAACGAACCTTTACATGTTCCATACATAATTCTGATAAACGTATGGATGTGAAAATGTATTTGATACTGTAAAGGTTGTCTAAACGTCCATAGTGTCCCATACCTTCTGTTCATTGAGTTGATCTGCTATGACCTTTGGATCCAGATCAGTGGTTTTTAGCTTCTCAAGACTGAGTGCCGTGTTATTGAACCAAGCCATCTCTTTTACCACAGCCTGCTCCAGCTGATGAAAACATACATTTGTTAGAATATATACAACATGACGTTGTTCAACACCAGCAAAGCGTCCAACAAGGGATGAGGCTTAATGTGCTACAGCAAAGTAAACCTCAGGTGGGACGTTTCTGTTTACAACAACCTAAGATGTGAATATTCCAGAGTTTAGTGAAAAATAACTGACCCGCTGTTTCTCAGCTGCACATAGTACCGCATCTCCTGAATGAGTTTGAGCTCCTGCTGCTCCAAGGAGCTCCCTCTCAATACGGCCCAGCCACAGGTGGAGGTCCTCCTGGCTGGAGGTGCAGCGGCTGGAGGCTTCCAGGGCCTGCTCTAGCCTCTGAAGCACATCCAGACTGCTCAGACTGAGTACGGAGCAGCGAATACGTAGGGAGTCCATCTTCTCCTGTACCTGCTGAGCTTCCTCCTCTAAAATGGCAGATACGTCACAACTCAGCCACTCCTTATCAGCTAGTTTCCTTGTACTAGTAAAGTAGAATTACACAAAGTTTAAGTTTCATATTCGTAAAACATAATCCAGTAAACATTACCTGAAATGGCTTCCATTAAATTATCAGCTGACTTCTGTATTTTAACAAGTTCAGCTGTTTGGGCTTGAATCTCATCAACAACAGCCTAAAAGGGCAAAGGGTTTGTTATATTCACCACAAATAAAATATATATATATATATTTAAAATCTAACCAGTGGTGTCCAAACCTTCTGGGATGCAAAAATTAGAAATTGAAAAGTGAAACAAAAAGTTAAAGTAATAATTTGTTGTCATTATTTTGTTACCTGCTAAGCAGTACTGTAGGTCATAATGTTATGGCTAATCAGAGTAATGGTAATTGCTAACCTTGGCCTTATCTGTGGCTTCTGAAAGGTGCATCATCACTCTCTCTGCGTTTCGTAGTTCGGCTAACGTCTGCTCCACAGATATGAGCCACTGTTGGAGGAGTTCTACGCCGTCCTGGAACTGCTGAGCTTTGGGCAGAATAAGCTCCAGATTCACCCTCCTAACAAAGTTTGGATAATTAATCAGTGAGGTTTGCTCAGAGCCGTTCGGCAAACACAGTCGGGCATTACTAATAAAAGTGTCTGACCTTTTCTCTGCCTGCAGCTGCAGGGTCTCCCACTTCTGTGTGAGAGTGGAGAGCTTGACCTTTGCCTGCTCTCCTTCCTCTCCTGGGTGGGCCTCTACCAACCGAGGACCCTCCAGCAACATGGAGTTCACACTGCGCCTTCGGTCAGTCAAGAGGCGCTGCAAAAGCTGCAAAAGCAAGGTCAAACCACGGTTTTTAAATGTCCAAACCAAATAATATTAAATATATTTTTTCTGTTAAATTTATAAGAAAAGACATAAGAGTCGATTTAGTTTGAAGCTCTGTGCCTGTTTTCTGTCGCGTCTGTCTGTGTGTCTGTAGCTGGAAGCCCTGTCTCAGGTTTCAAGCTAGCATTGTCAGAATCTGGGAAGGTTTCATGTCATTATAGAGCTCACAATGGAGCCGGATCGCAGCTGAAAGGCAAACTGTTCTCCTCCTACCTGCACAGACAATGTCTTCGAGAAGCTCATTGTTGTGATGACCACCACCCCTTCACCAGCAAATAGAGCACAGGTTATTGTGGAAAATAAGACTCTGCCTCTTGTTTCGTAAAAAAAATCTACTTTTGTTGTTGATAAACTATTAATGAGTTTCTAATAGTGCTGTGTACATTTGTAGTCATTATTTTGGAATTTTATAGCATCTAATTAAAAATATACATCTTGGGCCTAAAACCATTAGTGTTGCCTTAATCTCTTTTGACTAAAACAGTACATGGTGATTTACCACCACAGCAGGATGTTTTACTCTTGAGCCTTTACAGAATGATCAGAGCCGCTCACTTACTCCCAAAACCATCTACTCTTTCCTATGGTGAAGGAGTTGGAGAGAAATCCTCCAGACCAGGAAGCATCATGGCGTTTTTTTTCTGAGTGGTGTGTCAAGCCTAGTTTACTTTTCTGTTTGCAGCGGTGCGATGCAGAGACATGCAGCGCTATTGTCCATCATTGCAAGTGCTCTACAACAGTTATGCAAGAACGGATGGAGTAGACCCCCTTTCCCGACTATTTGTCGATAGACCGCAAGCCTGTGATTGGTCAGGATGCCGCTTCCTATAACTTTGTCAACAGCACCAAGTTTCAAAAAAATATAACAAAGGCCGATGGCAGTATAACCCAGATTAGTGCTGCGCCCTCTGTTGTCCTGGAGGAGAATTGTGTCACAGCACTGACACACCAATGAAGAAGTATTAAAGGAATACTTCTCCATCGGTATGTGCACGTGTGAGTGCAAACTTGCTGAGGGAGTAGTATAAACTAAGCTTTGGTGTGTGCGTGTGCGTGTGTGTGTGTGTGTGTGTGTGTGTGTGTGTGTGTGTGTGTGTGTGTGTGTGTGTGTGTGTGTTATCATTTCATTTTTCTGAGAATCTCTGTCAGCCACTACTACAGCACCGCCCTCTCAGTTTTTCAGGCAAGGCCTTCTTTCAGCGGGAAGTGTTCATGGACTAAGACTCAGGTAGGGAAAATCTTTAGGGTGATTTTCTACTCAATATGTTTATTTTACATCAACAAAAATAATAATATATGGTGATTTAGTCAAACAAACCTTTTGCTCTTGTAGCTGTGCTTTGATGACTTCAACCTCTGAAGATGGAGGCTTTTGACTGGCTGTTAGCTCCTCAATCTCACTGACCCATGTGACCAAAGCCTCCAGGTTCTGGAGGAATGTCTCTGTATCCGTGGACACATCCTTCAGAGCCAAGGCAGATTTTGTTCCCTGATGGGGGAAAAAAGATCAAGTAAAAATGAAAGTAAGTAGATAAACAGCTTTGGTAATGGGACGCAAACACAATAAAACATACCTTCCATCCTTCCAAACTACCATCTGGGTCTGAACCTGAGTGTCCATCCCTTTGGAGCTGCAAAGTAAAGAGAATTTATGTGATTTCCCTTTTCCTGAAACTAATGTCCTGGACCCACAACCCAGTGACGCACACATGTTATTGTTTTAAGACAGAGGTGAAGGAAAAATGGAGAGATCAGAAGAAGAAAACTGAAATGGAAAATTGATTAGATTTGTCATGTTTAATAATTGGTGATTCAACCTCAGCGAGTTCCTCTGCAACACCGTTCAGCACTCTAACAGTTCTGGTGACTATGGGGTTCCCTCCTTTATCTCCACGTGGGTATTCTGTCACTTCCACAATTTCTGTGACAGTCGTCTCCGTCACCTCAGTCACTTCTGTGACCTCACGTGATGCCATGGTCTTCCAGGACCAGGGGCTTCCTTCTCTCGAGTCCCTCCTCTGGAAACTGGCCCTCCGGTCTGCAGCATTCTTTTCCGGATGAGCCAAGGGAGATCTTGCAAACTCTAGAGGAACTGTCTTCCTTGTTAGAGTTCCATTTCTAGATGTTTTTATTGGAGAAGGGTTGTTGTGCCAGGCATTTTCCAGAGTACTGCTACTTCTGATTGTGGAAGCAGGAGAGCTTTGAAGGGGTTCATCTGAAATGGGAGTATGAGCACCATCTTCCCTTTTATATTCAATTTCCTGTTTCTCCTTTTCTTTTTCCACCTCCTTTTCTTTGTTTCCATCCTCCCCGAGTTTGTCGATGTAATCCGCTTTGACTGCTTCATGTTTCTCGGCTGGCTGCCGTTCCTTTCGTCGTTGGTAGCACTCCTTTAAGAAGCCCTCGTCTGTTCTCACTTGCTTAGATTTCTGGCCCAGGCAGCTGGGCCGGCTGACGAGGTTACCCATAATCCTTTAGCCCACAGGCTAGAGAGGTAATAGGCGAGGTAAGGCCCCTCGGCCATTCAAGCGGATGATTCCTCAGCTACCTAAAATAAAACAAGGGGACTCATAGTTATCAAGCATTACACAACTGATCATTTTGTACAAACAGTAAATTGTTATCTTCCTTTGTGTCTGTGTGTGCGTGCGTGCGTGCGTGTGTGTGTGTGTGTGTCACTAAATGCAATTTAAAATTTTTTTATCACTGCCATAAAGCGACTTTAGGCCGAAACAAGTCTCTCAGTAGTCATGTACCAACTTTAGGCTCCAACGCTGCCTTTGTGTGGGCACTGAAGGACCAGAGGGAACCAGGCCAAGATCCTTCTCCTTTTTTATTATAAACACATTCTCTGTGCTATCTGACATCAACAACTGAAATATTCTAGGCTTCAAAATCAATGTGACAAGCCTGTCGAGTATACTGGTGTTGGGCCTGGCACAGAGATAAAATGGTGGCAAACAGCCAGCCCTTTCTGTAACTCGGCTTGGACCAGTCCTGAGAAACCCAGTTAGGATGTGATTAAGTATGACAGCCATAAAAATGCAGACATCGCTTCATTTCTGGAGGGTGTCAACAGGAGGATGGGGTAGAAGGGACTAAACAGAACCTCCAATGTACGTTATTCAGGTCTAATCTATTGAATATATTAGACCGTATGATATGGTGCTTATAGATTAATGGTTTTAAGAATAGGTCACCAGGTGTTCTATATATAATAGATAATGTTCAGAAGTACCATGCTAGTCAGCATCCTATTGCCCCAAATTAGTATTCTACTCCGCTTATTGTTACCAACAGTTTAAACCCTGTGTCTGCTTTCTCCTCAGTTCAGTGCCTTCATTGTTTTGACAGAGGTTAGAGGTGAATGTAATTATCTTGACACAGAGAATCGAAGGTGAGCCTATCAGGAGATCACAGGGAGGGTTCCTGTTGAAGCCAATTCCTCCCTCTGTTCCATTCACAATTATACAGGTCAGTTAAAGTCATGCTTGGAGACCAAAAATCAAGGGGGAACAGCAAAATCAAGGAAACTGGAATATGTTAGCTCCTCAACCTACTGGGACGAAAGATCTGAAAAAATGTAAATGAGCTGACATGTTGCTGTTATGCTGCTGGCAGATCACATTATGCTGAATACGCAACTATTTCTTATCCTTATCCTTGTCTAGGGCTTATGAGGCAAGACAAAGAGACTCGGCAACCTAGGAGGATGTAATATATGTGTTTATATATATATATATGTATATATATATATATATATATATATACATATATATATATATATATATATATGTGTGTGTGTGTGTGTGTGTGTGTGTGTGTGTGTGTGTGTGTGTGTGTGTGTGTGTGTGTGTAACCAGTGGAGAACCTAAATATGACCTACTTTCATTAGATGACCCCATCCCTAAGCACTAGGACTCACTTACATCATGCCTGTCTGCTGAGCAGATGATGCCATCCGGGGGTCCACAGGGGAGTATACACTCAGATCAGAGTGGTGCCCAGACAACGCCCCTGCCTCAAGATCAATGATTACCGAGTTAGCTCAGATCACTACCCTCCAGTCTCCCAAGGAGAGCAGAGTCAGTGCCTTTAAACACACCAGCTAACGGTTTAACAGAGGGGTGTGCTGTGCCTGGTTGCTGTACCACTCGAGCCGTAATCTGGTAAATTGCACTGTTGTCTCTGCAGTGAGGTTGTGCTAAGCAGCAATCCATACAAACAAACTTTTTTGTAATGTTATGGTATAACTCATCTTATTGTTATTTTGCTTGTACGTTTTTATCATCTTTTCTGTGAGCTGACCTTGGGTTTTGATGAATTTAATGCATTATTATCATTAAAATTATTAAAACAGCAACAGGATACTAATCAGCCTAAATATGGACATCTTTTATGTATATATATATATATATATTTTTTTTTGCTAAATCTAAAAAAACAGGAGGCAGTCATGTTACAGCTGACTTTTGGGCATCACAATATACTGCAACAATGAGTTGACCTATTTGTTGGTCACCACTAGACCAACCCACCATGTGTCTAACCTGATTCTGTTTCTCACTTTCTAGACTGATGATAAGAGAAGGAGTGAAAGAGAAAACCATCCTTCCTGTTCCAGATAGCCCAACCATTCCAGCACTTAACCTGTAGGCGGGCTTTGCTCCGCTCTCAGCAATGATTTATGACTGCACTTCATTCTGGGATTAATTGGATTATAGCCATGGTACGGGGCCTCTCTGTGGTGTAGTAAGATGAATTTGAAATTAAAAGAACCAAAATAGTTAGAGGGAGTTCATGATTTGGTACTCATATAATGTCCAACATTTATCAAACCAGATGTGGACAGTTTATTCCAGCATAATGTTCATGTATCTTGTTTATCTATTACTCCCATTCAGCTATGAGTGGATTAGTAATTAGCAGCAGAACAATAATCATCAATCACAACCGGAGAGCTTCATAATGTTGTCTGATAGCTGTCTGCTGGTGTCTCTTATGGGAGGAAGTGGTCTCTAATCAAAGATGGCAGCTGTGCCTTTACCCAAGAGACTCATAACATTTAAGGGTTCATATTAGTACAAGGTCAGATGTTCCTTACAAACAGCCCTTAAAGTGTACAATCCACTGTTTCCTCTTGACACAAGCAGTTACTGGGCTCCATGTCCACTGAGATAACAGGATCATCAGGAGGAGAAACCAAAAACAAGCTGTTGAGGTAAAATTAATGTACTCACAGTAGTAGGACCCATTCATACTGATGTAGTTACTACTGGACTACTCCATCTTTCAACTTTTATTTTGATGAGGTTAAAGGTCTTAAAGTACCTGCATTGGATCATATTTACACTCCCATGGTTCCCTGGTTTGGTCACTAAGAACAGGCAAAGTCCAGAAGCAGTTTCTGTGTGGGCCAGTCCTGAGGTGGACAGTTTTGGCGGTTAGAAGCTCACGTGAGTTCCACTTACCCTGAAGCCGAGCTGAACCCAGCAGCGTGAGTAGAGGAATCCAGCTCACCCTCATTCACCATTCAAAGGGAAAGGAGAAGAAAAAAATCCAGCTTTGTTGGGGCATCCTTTCAACGGTCTCAGAGTTCCAACATCCCATACTGTAGGTCCCTCACACACACTCCCTCCCCCAACAAGTCCAGTCTTTTACACACAGTCACATACAAACACACTTTCTAAACACACACATGTCCTGATAACTCATGCTTTTCCGTTGCCCACAGTCACAGACAAACAATGCCCTCCTCTCCCAGTGCACCCCTCCTCTCCTCTTCCCTCCCCTCCCTGCCTTCACTTCACTTCTCCTCCCACCAGCTCTGCTCCTCTCCCTTTCTTCTTTGTTGTGGGAGCTGTGATAGAGGAATTCCTTCCCTGTTAACGCCACCGATGGGATAGTGCGCCCAGATGAAGACAATGTATTCCAACGGTTCAGCTGAACTCCCACAGTTCCCAGCCAAGAGCAGTTTTCACATGGATGGCAGATAGTAACCGCTCCACCACAGCGGCTGCACTCTCACCCATGCCACTGCCCAGGTTGTTCCTGGACCAATCAGCTCAGAGGCAAAGTGCCCCCTCTACCTTCCTCGAGCTCTTTTGTGTTGGTCCCACGTTACCCCCCTTCTCATGCAACAAAACCCCTCCTCTGTCGCACTGTGGCTCACAAACTCTATGCTGCTTCTGCTTGAAAAATGGGGTAGGGATGCAAAAAAAATGAAGAATTTTCTAAAGACCCCTGGGCTGCCCTCAAAACATTCACATGTTAAGTGACAGCTGCCTGAGCCCCTTCCCTCTCAGGATGGAGAAAGAGGGAAGTGCATGCTACAAAAGGAGGACCCACACCCACCCCACAATCCACCCAGCCACACATTCACCCCCATCCCCTCTGCAGCCCCTGGCTCTCCATTCATAGCCAGTACAGCAGTCTCTGCAGCACCAACAAACCATGGCTAATTACTGTAAAACATCTCAGATTAGATGTCAGCTCCATTCTGGAACCCAAACGTCCTTCCTTCGGTCTCTTTCTGACAGCAGGGCTAAAGGATCAAGCTTCCCAGCTTAGCTGGCGATGTTTAGTTTTAAATCAGAGTTCTCAGTATAAGAATAAGAATACCTTTATTAGTCCCTCAGCGGGGAAAATGCAATATTGCAATAGCTCAGGTACAGCAGGATAGCAGCAGTAGCACACAAGATATTGCACAAGAGTACATAGTAATACGTTCAGGTAATTACTTGAACATGGTGATGAGAGTAGTAGTTATATTGCACATGTTTTGAAAAGGTGGAAGGTTACAGATTTGTGGCTTCTATTAGCAGTGACTATTATAGAGTCTAACAGCAGCAGGGAGGAAAGATCTGCGTTATCTCTCCTTTGTACAGCGAGGGTGAATCAGACTGTATAAAGACGGAGGTAATCACCTTGTTAACAGAGTCTAGCTTACCTGCTTGTGAGCTGGTTATAATTTCAGTTTAACTTTAAGTTAAAAGGGCAACTTGGTTACTTTTTCTTAACCCAATGAGACCCGTGAGAGACAGGCTGAAAAAGCTTTTATAAGCTGGCAGTTTTACGGGTGAAATATCAGAATATGGTGCAACAGTCCATTAATTTAGTAATTCAATTTAGACTCAGAGACCATCTAAAGCACATATGTCAGACACAAGGCCCGTGGGCCAGATGTGGCACATCATTTTATGTGGCCCGCGAGAGATTCAAGTGTCTTAAAATAAGTCGATGCCGCTTCAAAGCACACATTGACTATGAATTTCATTTCCCATAATGTATGGCGATTGTGTTCCCAGTGCAGTGACTCGCCACTAGGTTGCAGTGTATCCACTTCCATGTTTAATTAATGCAACAAGTGAAAATAACTATCCACACATCATCTCAAAATGTCCAGGAAGAGAAAGATTGATGCAGAAGGAAGGGTGTTTCAACGAAGATGGAACATGTTGATGCTTCAAAGAGAAAAACCGGTATGTCGTTACAGTCGTTAGCATCCATGCTACTAGCATCAGCATCTGCAGCGTTACCCTACTGTGCCTCGTTAAAAACGGAAAACACTCCTCTTACTCAGCACCGAGTTTACCCAGCAATTAGCCAACTTTGAAGCCCAGAAATGGATCTTAACAGCTCGGTAATCTGTTGCTGCTGACATAGAAGGCGCACCAACCAACTTCCAGACTGAGATGATTTAACTCCAGTTTAGCAACACGCTCAAGTCAGTATGGCTCTGTGGCTGCTGCAGCTTTTATCCCCCTCCCCGACACAACTGTGTGGTCCAGATGCTCTCCATGTCCAGCAGCACAAACCTGTGTGAGCAACTGTTTCTCACTGATGAACTCCTTCCTCAGCTCAGAGCCCAACCCCACAGGTGCAGGTCTGGCTGGAACAGGTGAGCATCACAGGAAATCAGAGTGGAGAAAACTGGGACTGAATTATTTTGGTTTTATTAACCTTTTCTGCTCCAAAGCTAAAGCTAAAGTTAATAGGTGAGCAATTGCATTTTCATTTAAGAGAGTTACTATTTTTTATTTATGTTGTTGGCCTGTGAAAAAAGATTTCACCTACTTTAAAACAGGAAATATTACAGATAGAAGAATAGAAATAAAATTGAAAATCCCTTAATTGTCCGTCAGTGGGGAAAGCTTGATGTCCCAGCAGCAATTACATTCATTACAGGAGCAACAAAGGAGAGTAAAAAATAAAGAATAAACAAGAAAACATAAAATTGAAACACTTAAAAGATTCAAAAGATAAAAAAATAAGAAGAAATGCTGAATATATGCAGATTTTAAGGAATTTTTTTTTAAATGGAGAGATAAGTAACGAATACCACTGTGCTTTATTTAAAATCGGTATGCTCGTGTGTAACTTGGTTATTCCACATTCAGTGTTACTGCAAAAATAAGTTTGTTTCTAAATGAAAAGGTTCAACCATTCATATCTGTAGATAAAGGAAAATGTGCACATTTGCCGTTGCTTATTAAAAAATATTGAGTTTGGCCCGTGACTTCATCCCAGGTTTTCATTTTGGCCCAGTGTGAATTTGAGTTTGACACCCGTGATCTAAAGGCTCAGGAACTCTCTACAGGTGTTCTGGATTCATTGGCTGATTCGAGTGTGACACTGAGTCTAGAATAGTAAACCTTTTCACAATATTCTAGTCTGAGACTTTGAATGTGGGGTTTTCATAAGCCATAATCATCACAATTTTAAACACAAGGGCTGAAATATCTGGTTTTGCATCTAGTTTCACCTTTTAAGTTGAACTGCCATCATTGTGTTTTGTTTTTGCCTTCCACTGAGCTTGTAAACGTCTTATTCATACCACTTCCTCTACTGCAATGTGCTCACCTTGTTGCATATTAACTGAACTGTCTTTCAGTTTATCTGTGAACATTTTAGTTATTTCAGTTATGGGTGAGGGTTATGAGTGCAGACCTCTGACCAACACGTTTATAGAAAAACTTCATTTCTGAAAAGGCAAATCTACCAGAACGGCTTCAGCAAGAACAAAACTCATTCTTTGAGGACATGTCTTAAATCAAGGAAGCAGTTTTAGGTTACCAAACACAACCAGTACTTGTTTAGTGTAATTGGGGATTTGTCATAATCTAATTCCACAAGAGTCATTTTTCTGATCTTTGTCCCTCTTTTAAAATATAGTAAAATGAAACAAGAGCAAAGAAAAAAGGACAACCGCAGTTCCATGAGACTGAAGCCCGACACAGTGGACAAACTGAATAGGATGACCCTGAAGGGTCAAGTTATTTAACCTCTGGGGCCTTTACTGGTTATCATGGAGTTGTTGATGTTGTTTTAATTATAATATTACAACACTCATGTAGGCTAGAAACTCAGTGGAAAAATACAAATTTATTTCATTTTTGTTCTAGTCTATTTATTTTATTGGTGTGTTTTAAAGGATGTTTACCTGGTGGTGGTGGTGGTGGTGGTGGTTAAATTGTATTTGTAATGTGTTAGATTGATTTCAGGCATCACTGTGGCTTGCTTTACCTATAAAGGCATCAGTCCCATTTATAAGCACACAGCCTTTATTAATTCATTCTTCCTTAATCAAGACATGAATATAGAAGCCAATAAACACATTCTTGAGAAAATCATTGTTTAAATACATTGCCCTGAGGCTCACTATAAAAAAAAAAAATAAAAATAAGTAAAATACATAAATAACATATATATATATATATATATATATATATATATATATATATATATATATATATATATATATATATATATATATATAATGATAAAAATTCATTATCAGCTTTTATACCAATATCCAACGTACCAACATCATCTAACTCTTATCCAATACCGATATATACCGATATCGGTTAGGGTTAGGTAACCGATATAAATGCTGTGTCCCTCCATCGTAAAACAAAGAGGCACACTGAATCATTTTAGGTCGCTAACATTATATTCCTCCTATCATTCATGCTTAAGCTTTAACATTATCAGTGCAAAATGACAACTTCTTCACTTTAAGTAACAGTAAAATGTTTCATGTCTGAAACTGCAGCTCAATCACATTTTCCTTGAGATAATCCTGACTAATGATCTGTGCTAATTATTTAGTTCATGCTGGGAATACGTTAGAGCAGGGATTCCCAAAGTGTGGTGCGTGCACCCCTGGGGGTGCGAGAGCTGCCGCTAGGGGGTGCAGGAGGTGAAAAGTGTAATGGCTGCGGAGCTCAGAGAAGTCTGTCATATGTCACCATTAGCGTAGCCAGAAACTCATTTGTGGGTGGGCCTAAGAAAAAGTAAGTGGGCCCAATAAATGTAATTGAAAACAAGTATATTTTTACGCGCGCGCGTGTGTCCTCCACATGTGCCCTAGCTTCATAATAACAATGTGCCGAGCTTCAGCGCTCTGGCCTGCACACGCCGATATGTTCCGTATTTGATCATTTTTAACGTTGTTGGAGAAATCTGAAGGTCATTCTGGCAGATTGTAATTAACACCTGTCTCATGCAGGTGTTCTGACTTTGTAAACCTCACACACAGAACATTGTGGATGTAACTAAATAACAAGAAATGATTCCCATTCAGGCTATTAACAGCGCACTGACGATCTGAAGTTCAGAGTGCGTCCGTCAGAGGTCAGACGCGTTCCAGCGGAACCACGGCTCACGGGTGCACAAGTGAGCACATCTGGGCTGGGCAGCAGTAATTTTACAACATTGGTTTAAATAGCGCCAATAGCGAGACGCGGTGACTGGAGCGGCTCATGGAGCTCAGCTGTGACACACACACACACACACACACACACACACACACACACACACACACACACACACACACACACACAGATTCAATAAGCGCGCACGCTGCGCAAACTCCGGCGCGCCGTCAGACTGAAGACAGAAATGATCGCTGCCTCCTCAGGTTTTATAACAACATTGTTCATTCCAGGTCAAATTAAGATATTAGCTTCTATTTTGGGATGGCTCCAGCCAGTGACTCCGAACCTGACCACATCTCGTGTTACTGCAGCATTTGTTATTCCAGTCTGCATGGCAGCGGATCGCAGATTCAGCCACACCATAAAACAGCAATAAGTCGGTCTCAGGCAAAAGTGAACCTCATGGTTATATCTTTTCCATTTTTTCCCCTATAGACATTTGATTACGCACAAGTAGGTGACCAGTTCAGGTTTACGTCTTTCTAACACTGTAGAGGTCTTTAAAAATCATCTAAAAACTCACCTTTTCATCCAGGCGTTCTCTCCATAAATGTTTCAAAAAGATGGCTTTGTTCGGGTTCACACCTTCACTTTGTTTAT